CAGCCGGCGGCCGGCGGGGCTGGGGGCCCCCCGGGCCAGGCAGACCCGGCTCCACTCCCGCTCTCTGGCTGTGAGGCCCCGGCGACCCCCTTTCCTTTTCTGAGCCTCGGTTCTCCCCCCGAAATGGAGACGAGAGGGGCTGGAAGGGGCACTAGAGATGGGAGTAGCCCGGGCACAGCCCGGACACTTCGCCAGTGCGTGTGGAGCAGACACGGGGCCGGGGAGGGAGGCCCGCGTGTAACAAGTGTCGCAAGAAAGAAACACGCTCTGGCCTTTTCGAGACCCCGCTCCGAATACCAACGGGACCCTTGCCTGGCAGAGACCCCTCTGCCGGCTTCACCGCACCAGTGGAGTCGGCCCGAGGCAGCCCTGGGCCTGCGAGCTCGCGGTGGATGCACACGCGGCAGAAAGGGCTTGCAAAGCCCACATCTGTACTTAATAGAGCAGGAATTTGCATTGTACACAGCAGCACGAGGGACCCGGGCTAAGGCATAAAGAAACACCTTTCCTCGCCGCTGCTCAGGACCGCCGGCGTAGACGAGGGGGCGTCCGGGGAAGGGAAGCCTAGCGGGGTCCGGGCACCCCGCAGACGGTGGGGTCCGGTCACCCATCCATGCATGTATTCTCCAAAGCCACCACACTGCACCTACCTTCCTGGGCCCAGACCCGAGTGGGAGGCTGGACACGGAGTGGTGCCGGTCGGCTTCCTGTCCGCGAAGACCAGTCTGGTGGGGGAAAGAGACAGAGTGAGTCACTGTAAATCAGTGATCGAGGGGGAGTGATGGCAGCTGAGATTTATGGAGCCCTATGTAGGGGCCAAGCCCTGAGCTGGGCTGTGTGCCTAGAACTCACCCCGGCAGAAATTCCAAGCGCTAGCCTCAGAGTCCCCATTTGATTGACGGAGAAACTGAGGCAGGGGACAGTGAAGTCCCATACTCACCGTCTCTCAGCTGGTGTGAGGCCGAGCCGGGATGGAACCCCAGTCTGTCCGAGGCTCCCCACCACACCCTGCTGCTGAAGGCTGCTCAGCGAGGCTGTGCTGAGTGCTGGGGGGGTGTGGGTGGGCAGGGGATGGATTGATTAGTTATAAGCACCTCCCAGCGGTGCTTGAGATCCCAGCTCCTCTGTGGCCCAATCCGTTTGAAGGGCAGATTCAAAATTAGGTGGTAGCACCTATGGGCAGAGGCTTATGAAAATGGCATTATTAACCTGATGTGGAGAGGGCCTGCCCACCTCCGAGCAGATTGCAGATGGAGGTGGAGGGGGCTGGGGCTTGTTTGTGTGGACAGTGAGTTAGAGAGGATGGAGCATGTGGGGGCGGGCAGAGCTGCCTCCTGGGGAGGACTGGCCCTGGTGGGGACTCGATGGCCGAGAGGGACCGGTCTGCAGGGAAATGCCCCACGCTACAGCCCACTTTTGGGGGGAGGGTCCCCGGCCCCTTCTCGGACACCAGCAGGGACTCCGTGCTTCTGCACCTCAGTTTCCCTGTCTGTGAGTGGAGATGGACACCTACTGTCACTGTAGGAAAGCCCCTGTCCCCACAGCCTTCTCTCCCACCCCCCTCCCCCGCTGTCGTTGCTGGACACCTGTCTGCTTGTCAGAGCAATATTCAACAGGAGAGTCCCAGTGCGGGGTGGGGGGGTCGTGGAGAGGAAGGGGGAGGGAGGGGACTGGCGCCCCGGACTCAGAGAGGCTGCTGAGCCGAGATCTGCACTGGGGAGGCCTGGGCCACTAAAGATTTGTGCCAACTCACGGTGCAGTGGAGGCAGACGGTCTCTACTCTCCAGACACCAGCCAAGAGTCTGTGGCGCCCCCAAGTGCCACAAGGGGGCTGCCTGGGCCACATTTTTGAGCCCAGAAAGTGAGGAGGGGGAGACCATCAGTAGGGGCCGGCGTTCTTACTTTTGTGGTGGCACTTTTGGGCTGCGTCAGATACGTTGGGGGCCAGCCTGCCGGGCCTGGCGGCTGCGGGCTGCGCCCCTCCCTCACTGGGGCTGCACTGCAATGCAGCAGGCTGCCGGGAGGGCCCGGGGAGCTGTCTGGGGGCTGGTCTTCCAAAGTGGGAAAGGAAAGGGGGGGCATTTCCAGGCGGGGCGTAGGGTGGCGAGGTTCCCGGGAAATCGAGGGTGCAGAGAGCCTGGCAGCTGCCGAAGGGCCGGAAAGGGGGAGAGGTGGAGGGGCGTGGGGCTCTGGGGGTCTGTGGGGACTGCCTTGGACCTGGCGTCCAGTGTGAGTCAGTTTGCAGCCATAGGACTGATGGGAAAGAGGGGGGGCTGGGGACCGCACGGGCAGCTCGGCATGACAGTTCAGGATACGAGCACCAATTCTTGTCCTCCCGAAAAAGCAAAATAAAATAAAATAAAAAGCATTTGAAAGCTACGTGGTCGAATCCTTCCCAGCCTGGCTGAATTGGTCCCAGGGAAGGACTCTCGGGTGGTCGGGTGGCCAGCTCTGCCTTGGAGAAGGGGGGTGCACTCAGGCCCCCTTCGAGCCAGCAAGGAGGCTGCAGCATCCGGGGAGGGGTGGGGGGCCTCGAGGCGAGGGGGCGCTCTAAGGTCTGGGGAGTGTGTGGAAGGCCTGGGGGCGACCCTGGGCGGGAGAAAGATGGCCTGGGCTGGCGGCGGGGGACGGGGGGGATCCGAGGAGTGAAGGGGGTGCTGGGGGCAGTTGGTGGTGACTCGATTCGAAGCACCCCAAACCCCTGCACTGTCTCCTCCATCCCAGCTCGGGATGGTTGGCTCCCACGGGCCCGGCCTCTTCCCAGCGTGTCCTACGCTGTGGGGCGTTTGTCCTCTAAGAGCGAGCCCCTCGCTCTGCCGGATGCGGCTGCGTCCCGGGCCCCTCGGCGCTTCTGCGTGGCTTCCCTCTCCCTCTCCCTCATCTTTGTTTCCCCTGGCCGATTTGAAAACTCTTCGCTTACGACATAGTCCAAACCACACAGAAGCAGAGAAACCGTATGTGTGTTCATCACGAGTTACCCCCTTTTCAGACGGCTGTCCCCCACCAGCAGCCCAGCTCCTACTGCCTTTCAGCCCCCGCCCCGCCCGGCTGCCGCGAAGCCAATTCCAGACGCCGCGTCGTTCCCTCTGAGAAGTTTTCGGCACCTATCTCTAAAATAGAACGCTTTCCTGTGTTAGAAACGTAACCGCGACGCCATCACCGCGGTTAAAAAGTGATCAGTGTTTGCTTGGTGCCATCCAGCATTTACTCGGCTTTCAAACCTCTCCGAGTGACGCCTCAACTTCTTTTTCACTTGGCTTCTCTAAGTCAGTGTCCAAACTGTTTCCCACACTCTTCAGGGGCCACCAGGGTTACAGAAGGTAAGTATAGCTACGAATCCAGGGGTTTGGCTCTTTACTCTCAGTTAGAAACCCGGCCTCGGCAAACCGGGTTTCTCACGGAGAATGGGGCCAGTTCTGGGTTCCCTCTCAGGGTCCCTTAGCGAGGATCAGCGGCCATGCACGTGAAGCCCTGCTCACTGCATCTAATACGTAGCAGACACTCGGCAAGCAGGAGCTGCTAGAATATTTTTCCTGGAAACCTCCAAAGGGGAGTTGAGTGGGGTAGGCGAAACGGGGCTGGCTGTGGGCCGCAAAACAAAAGGCTCCAGCAGCCCAGCCCCCTTGATGATTGAGACCATATACGTGAACCACATCCCAACCAGAGCAGCCTGCAGGCCGGGGGCTGGGACCTCCCGGTTGGCTCACAACTCAGCCGCCTCACAGCAGACAGCGGTTGCTGTGTCCCGGGACCCACAAGGGACCCCACTTGTTGCCAGTCCACTAGGTGGCACTCTCCGCTGGGAGTCCAGGAGGGACCCCCACCCCAAACCGCTCTGGCCACTGCCCAGCCCTGGGGTTCTAAGGAGGGGTGCACACTGCTAAAGCATGGCACGTCACTTCTAAAAAGTCTTTCTCAGTCTGCCGTGCAGGATGCAGCGGCTCTGTCTCAGCAGAAATCCCAGCCCGGTGGAGGAAGCTGAGGGAGTGAAATTTTAATGACCATTTGCTCTGGCCAGGGGCTGGAATGTCCACTCTTTAAATCCTGACCTAGTACATCTCACTTCCCTTTATTTTGCAGATGAGAGGACCTTGCAAGGTTAGTGACCTGTGCAAGATCCGCTAGGAAGCGGGACCCAGGATTCCGATCCAGGTTCGTCTGATTTCTGTGCCGAATAGAAACGGGGAAGGCGAGGGGTCAGGTCCGTGGATGGAGGGACCCCTGAGTCGAGACGCGTCAGTGCACAGCGCTGGCTGGCCGGCCGATAAATGCTGGTGAGGTGGGCGAGTGAATTAAAATGCAGAGGGTGGGTGGGTGAGTGGATGGATGGATGGATGATGGATGATGGATGGATGGATGGATGGAGGAGAAACAGTTGATTTCTCACCAAGTTTGAGTAGTCGGTTTCTCACCGAGTTCAGTGATCAGAGGTTCTCTCTGAGTGAGCTTGCCGCTGCAGCTCTTGCCTTCTGCCTCTGAGTGTTCTGACTGGCTCTGGGACAACAGGTGGGCTGCCAGCTCACAGGGACCAAGTCCCAGCTATGGTGCGGGAGCTGCTCAGCGTCAGCTCTCAGCCCCAGCTGCCTTCACGGCGCCCCGAGAGACAGCAGGCAGCCTCCCTTCCACCGGCGCTCCCGGGCAGATGAGTAAGCCCTGACCCAACCACATGCTCAGGCCTTTTCTAGTCGCTTGGCATAATTGCATCTCCTCTAAATTGTCACGACCACCTTCGTGATAGCAGTTATCATCCTCCATTAACGTAAAAGGTTTAGGAACGGTGAGTGACTCACCCCAAATCATATAGGAAACAAATATCAAACCGGAATTTGACTCTATTCTGCTTTTCTTCCAAACCCATACCCTCCCCATTTTCTTTTTTTAAACGATTGCACCTAAAACGATCTGCACTCCTTGGGATCCACCCAGGTTGGACTCCCCCTCTTGGTCCATCAGGGAGCTTGGGACTTCTTATTCCCTGGACCCTAAATGTATTTCTTAAGCAACACCTTCTTTAGTTCATTCTGTCTGCAACGATCACACGTGCAGGGGTCAGACATATCACTAACGCCCTGCAGTACGATTCATCGAGTCTAATTAAAATTCCGGTGGCTCACGTTTTGACTGCATGCTAAGGGAAGAAGATGCGAGAATGACTCTGGAGCCTGAAGGGGTGTGAGGCAGGAGCGGGGGTCACACACTGGGCCGGAGGGCAGATCAGCAGGCCTCCCCGAAATCCTGGCTTCAGCTCCACAGATATGTCTCGAAAAATCTGCCGATGGGCTAAGCCCCGAGATGCGCATCTCGCATCTGCCTCATCGCTCAGCATCTTCCCAGCGTGTGACCACTCGTAAGTCGCTTTACGTCTCTGAGGCTCAGTTTTCTCACACGTAAAATGGGGCTAACGATGTCTGTTCGGATGCCGCCTTCTCGGCGAGCCTTCGTTCTTCTCATTGTTTCTGTTGCCTCCCTTCCTGCTTGATTTTCCTCCATACACTTGACACTCGGACAACACAAGGGTTAGAGGTGCTGCCAACTCCCCTCCCTCGCGCAGTCAAAAATCTGAGTATAACTTTTCACTCCCTAAAAACTTCACTACTAATAGCCTGCTGTCGACCAGAAGCCTTGGCGGCCACATGATCAATCCACAACACATATTTTTAGATGTTACGTGTATGACATACTGCAGTCTTACGATAAACTAGAGAAAGGAACGTTATTAAGAAAATCACAAGGAGGAGAACATATATCTACGGTATTTATTTTAAAAAATCCGTGGACGAGTGAATTTGCTCATGAGTCAACTGTAGTTGTCATCACCACCTCAGAGCCCGCGTGTCGCGCTTGGGTGTTTGAATAGGGTCCATCTTGGTGTCTGCCCCCAAGGATGTTAGCTCTCATCCTCACTGTACCCTTGGCACCCACACCAGTGCCTTGCACAAAAACTTTTTGGGGGAGAGAGAAGAGAACAAAAGAGACTTGCTGCTGAATTGTACCTGTCCCAGGGGACTGTCAGGCTTTGCAAAGCAGGCAGCATGGTGCCTGGTAGAGAGTATGCATTCTATAAACATCGGCTAATTATGATTATTATGTCTAATTCGCAGGACGGCTGTCGTGAGGCTCACGCGGGGTAATGTATGCTCAGGCACGCTGTGAGTGCTGCGTGCGGGTCCAGGAGGTGCAGCATCCATGGTCCTCTGTTGCTTAGAGGGAACTTGCACTTAAACTTGATGCTTTTCATTTTCGTACCACCTGGGAGGGAGGGAAGGCTGGATTGTTGCCTGCTCCCCGAGGCTCCGAGAGGGCACGGCCCCCGCGGTGCCAGGAAGGCGGAGGCAGGACTGGTCCTGTTCCATGCCTAGTGTTCTTTCCGCGACTCCCTCAGGAAAGTCCCCAAGTGGATGTGTTTATGAATATATTACCTGCCAGACGCATGCATAACGTGCGCATGTTTTAAATGTGTTTGTTATTTCCAGGTCTCAGAGGTGCTCTGAGGCCAGCGTGCTGGACACCTCCTGGGCCGGCCCGGGAGAGGGGGAAGGAAGCTGGCGTGTATTGTCAGGAGGGTCAAAGCAGAGCCCTCTTTGGATTTGGGGATCAAGCTGGTGTAGACGCCCCTGGGAGCAGCCCCGTTCACGCAGTGAAGCCCTTCCTTCGGTTTCTACTTTCCAGGGCACTTGTTCCAACTTTGATGCCATGTCCAAAACGGAACAGATCCCAGCCATTTCCTGCCCGAGGCCCATCCTTCCCGAAGCCCTCGACTTGGCCTGAGCGTCATTCTTGGTCCAGTTAGACGGGGGGCCATTTGACCAGCGTGGTGGGTGGCACGGGCCGGGGCGGGAGCCGCGGGGAGCTGTTCTGCAGTTCACCCTCAGCTCGGATCCGCGAGGTGTTCCCTCCCATCCTCGGTCTACAAATCGCACCAGTCGGGGCACAAGACAGAGAGGCCAGGTCACGTCTCTGCAGTTACACAGCTCATGAGTGCCTGCTGGGGTGGAACCTGGTCTGTCTGTCTGTCTAGCACCACCGCGTGGGCGCTGCTGCAGAGGGAACAGAGGTTGGGTGAGGGGCTCAGATGGGGTGTGTGTGTGGGGTTACCTGGCTGACTTTGGCATGAAAATAATGGCTAAATCTGCTTAGGGAAGAGCACCGTGGCTGTTGTCCACTTAGGGAAGCGGCCCCTCAGAGGTTAAGGTCACTTGCCTGACGTCGCCCATCTCGGCAGGTTTTGGGCTGGGTTTGGAGGTGGGCCATGTGGTGTGAGCATATGTGCCCTAAGCGTGGGACACCATTACCTCGTGCCTGTGAGCATGGGCGGAGGTGGCACACAGAGTCCAGGGAGCTCGGTTTGAGTCCTCTGACCGCCCCTGGCAGGTGTGCTCCTACGTCGGTCACGTGTATTTAATTTTCCCCCTTGACGGAGGCCCAGCAGAGGCCCAGTAAGCTACTGGCCCATGACAATACTTTCTAAGAATACGTATGTGTGGTAACATTTAACACATATAAAGGAGGAAAGGGAGGGTACCCAGGAGATTGGAGGTGATGATTTAAGGCAGAGGCTGTAAGGGTTTGGGGGAGGGTCATGTGTGGTTATTGTCCTGGTTTTAACAAATGACACAATAAGAGAGGCTCGCCGGGAAGAGTGAGCGAGACTGGATCATGGACCAAGGATTGTGATTAATTCGCCACAACCGAGGGACACGAAGAGATCAGAGTGGTTTGTAGTGGTTAATTTTACTCTTAAAAATAATATAATAAAGGCCTGGAATAGAGCAATTGTGAGAATGTGTTCTGGACAAAAGATTATGATTAACCCAGGTCTGCTAACCTGACATTAGCAAACAGAAAAGGTCGAGGCTGTTTTCCTCCGCTTAATGGGGCTTTGTCTTCCTTAGAATAGACACGCCCAGTTTGTCCACCAGAGAAAATCTTGGCCACGAGAAAGAGACTGTAGACAGTATATGGGCATTTAATGGGTGTTCACCAAATAGTCATAGATGAATGCATATGCATAAATAAAATTAAAGAGGGCCAGGCATGGGCCGATGATGAGAATGTGTTTTTAAACACGATTACGAGTAATCTAGTTCACCCCTCACCCAACCCAGCAAGTCGCGACTGTGGGTATATGGAGCAGTCATTGCTCTGGGCTGAAAGGTGGCTTCAAGTGTATTTGCCGTGTAGTTAAAAATAAATTTGACGAGTAATAAAATAAATGACAAATTGAAAGAGGGCCAAGAATGACCACCAAAGATGTTTTATGAATTATGGATTGAGATCAATCTAATTTATGTACAATTGTGGACTATTTAAAGCAACGAAACAAACAAATTTCTTACCTCTGTGGATAAGAAGCATTGGTACGCAAATACTGATCTAGGTACTAATTGGTATTTTTCTTTTGGGTTAGTGCTGAGCTCATGTGTGTTTATTGTATTTAAAAAGTAAGTGAGAGCAATGAGAAGGACAAGTGGAAAACAATAACGAGATTATATCTGAAATCAAAGATTATTATTACTCCAACTCTGCGCATCTGAGTCTCTCGGGAGTGAGATCTGGGCTGGTTCTTTGTAAGAAGTGTAGAGACAGATACTTATAATTGTTGTTATTCTTGCTTTTGATTAGGGTGGCGAATTTGTGCATGTTCACTGTGATAAAATCATTAGACGAAAAAATACGGACGATGAGAGCTATGCTTGGGCCAATGGCGAGACTGCGTCATAAGCCAAAGATCATGATGGGTCCCGTGCTGCTCACCTGACAGCTGTTAAGAAGCACCCAGGCTGTCTTATCCTAAAATATCTGCCTTGTACTTCACAGGACAGAGACCTGGAGTGGGCCTGATGATAAAGACCTCGGCTGCTACGTGTCTGGGAAACGGAACACGGACCAGCCAAGGTGAGTGATGGTCGGCATCGTTTTACGGTTGGGTGGCTGGTTGATGGGAGTGTGCATTATTAAACATGGATGGCACAAATAAAATGGCCAAGCCTAGAGCCTTGTGTCTCTATGCCGATGAGACTGTGTCATGTACCAAGGGTGATGAATTTCGTTAGGCATAGCTGTCACCAATCTAAAAAATAATGTGACTGGGCTCTGCCCTGTGCCGGGAATGAGCAAATAAAAAGAAACAATTTTACACATGTGTAATTATATTGATTGTGTGTATGTTTAACTGTATTATGCATGTGTAATATGTATCTGTTGAGATAAATGGCTGTATACATAAATCAAAGAAGGTCAAGCATGAACTAACAAAAACAATGTATCATGACAAGATTTACGATTACAAAATTCTACAATTTTGAGGGACATTAAAACAAAATTATCTGTGTTTTTAATTTATTTTAATAACACCATACTGTTGATTCGTACACTATGATTTATATAAATACTTCCGTATTGATGAAGTTTAGGCTATTAACTCAATGAGAGGTACACATAGAGACATAAGGTATTGGTAGTTTTCTATTTGTTGGATAAGATTCTTAGGTATTCTTTTATGATATTTTTAAAGGGATAAATAAAATTAAAAAGGGCCAAGTGTAGGCCAATGATGACAATAAACCAAGGCGATTAATTCAGTTCTATAAAAGTGAGAGCCATTAAAAATGATAGAGGCTATTCATTTTTAAAATTTTTTTCATTTTTTGAACAATTGTTTTCTGCTACACAAAATATATACACCATAGATTATTTAATCATGCAATATTAATAAGAATTTTGACCCTTATTTGGGTGGATAAGGTTTGTAAAGAAAATGTACGTAATAGTCAATTTTCTTAAATGTTAGGCTGGACAGTTGTTTGAGGGCATTCATAAGTAAGTTAAATGAATGAATGAACAAATTAATGAATGAAGCAAGAGAAGAGAAGCATGGCTCAATGAAGATAACGTCTCGTTATCCCAGAATTAAGATTATTCTAATTCTGTACAGCTAGGTCCATTTAAAAATTGTGTTGGTTAAGGATTAAGTAGTCAATATTCTTGTTTTTGCATGGTGATATGTTGGATATTGATTTTTGTACTGAAAATAAACGAACAATTCTTTAAATGTATAAAAAACAAGAAAAGTCAAAACATAGGCTGGCGATGGGAATGGGCCAAACATAAAAGGATTATAGTTAATTCAACTTATAGTACATTCGACTTCCAAAAAATACTCTAACCCGTTTCATTCCTTTCGCCAGCTGTTTTGTATGGCATTGTGTTTTTGTGCATAGTTTATTTAGACATTTCTCCAGGGATAAAGATCTAGGCTATTAACTCTTGGAGCAAGGAGCACAAAAGGACTTGAAAGGTAACATTTGTGTTCTACTTATGGGGTAAGAGATTGGATGTGTGGTTGTTCATGAAAACTCCTTTACAAATAATCAAATCAAACAAAAGAGAATCAGCATGGACGGATGATCAAGAGTAGTGTTTGATCCAATTTAGCTTCATTAGAAAAAGTGCTAGACTATTACCGAAGGATAAAGAGTAAATACTAACACTGTCCAATAGAACATTCTGCATCGACGGACATGTTCTGTAATTTATTCAGTCCAATATGGTAGCCACGTGTGACTGTTGAGCACTTGGAATGTGGCTAGTGTGCACGAGGAACTGAATTTTTCATTTTATTTCATTTTTACTAATTAAGTTTAAATAGTCATGTTTAAACTTAAACTATATACAGTTGATGTCTACTCTGTCCATTGCATCGAGTGGTTGTTTCATGGGAGTTTCTCGAATATTAAATGTGAATAATTAAATACATAAATTAATAAAAGAAGGTTAATGATGGATCAGAGATGAGAGAGTACCATAAAAAAGATTGTAATTAATCCAGTTTTGCATAATTAGATTCACTGGCAAAAAATTTTTTTGGTTCATAAAAAATAAACTAGTCTTCTCCATTTATTTAGTCAGCTATTTACTGTTATGTTGAATGTGTGCCTCGTAGTTTATGTAAACGTTTCTCTAATGTTGAAGGTCTATGTACCTTGGTGGGACGGGATCAAAAGCTCATTGTCAGAGTTGCAGTTGGTGGGTTGAACAGTGGTTTTTGGGATATAGGTTATATTATTAATTTACTTACCTCAGAAAAATGAATAATAAGGAATAGAGACTGTCTGCATGGCCCAAATATGGCAGTGTGGCATGGACCCAAGCTCGTGATTAATACAAGTCACCACAACTGTCATCTATACATAAGAGGTCTCATATATTTGTTGGTGAGGAATGTACAGACAGACATAACTAGTTGCCAATATACAAAAAGAGGACCAAACACAGACCAATGATGAAAGTGTATCACGAACTAAATATTTATATTAATAATTTCTGCACAACTAAAGTCTATTATATAAAGGTCTTTGTCTCGCCATTTATGAGTAAGAATTACAAAGACTATGTCTATCTAATCTTATATCTGTAATTTAAATCCATATATTATTAGTACATATATTATTTATACTAACATAAATTGGGTTTGATGGTGTAGTCATGGTGATTTCATTGACTCTATTACAAAAAAATCGATAAAGGAATAAATTGCTAAAAGCGAAAGGAATGAAATGTATGAGTTAGTCATTGCTATGATTATGCTACGTAACAAAACCCCCACAATTTCAGCAGCTTATAAAATATTAGTAATAACAATGATATTTTTTTCTTACATATGAGGCCGTGGGGTCTTGCAGTGGATCGGGTCCCATCTGCCTCACTCGCCTCCCTAGTCTCTGTTCCTGGATATTGGAGTCGTGTTGTCTGGGACGTGCTCGTCTTATAGTGGAGATCATTTAGTTGAGTCACGCCCACTGATGCTCCCTTGAGCGAGGCCAGTCACATGGCCGCCATAACATCAATGGGAAGGATATTCTTCCCGTGGAGGACTGGGAAGGGAGAGGGAATATTTGTTGAAAAATGACATAACATGCCGCATTTCTCCCAGTTGGTGAGAAATATTTACTTCACGTCCATACATGAAATACTACTCTTCAAAACATCCCAGAATCCATAAAGCCAGTGCTTTGGTTCAAAGTCCATCGTGATCCACTTCCGATTTGGGTGTTCGGGTGCGACTCCTCTTTATTCAGAGACTTGTAAGCTAGACAGGCTGTCGGTCCCCACACGGTAGACGTACTGTGTTGGAACCATCCCCATTGCAAAGGGAGAGAAGGGGAGGCACAGAGCAGGCCACGCCATTGCGACTCTGGAACCCCACTGGGCAAGTGAGGTGAGATCTCCCTCCTTGAGGCTGTCACTTGTGTGGGAGAGAGAATAAAGACAGATGTTGGTAACGGTCATTGTTTTCGTTCTGATTTTAGGTGAGCAATTCCATGGAGCTCACTGAAATAATAATTGAGAATTATTAATTAAGTAGATAAAAAAAGGCTGGGTCAGTGGTGAGGAGGAGGGCCTCGCACGGACCAGTGTGGAGAATGGGGCAGTCCGTTAGCCCAAGAATGGTTCTCTTTTCATTCATTGTCTTAAATTATTAATGTATAGAATATACTGACAGCTGCTGAATCTGCACCCTGATAGAAGCCAAGGATTATGGTTAATCCGGTATTTTCACAACTAACATTCATTCAAAAAGTTTAGATCTAATATCAGTTCTTCTCAACCAGTGTCATTTCTGAAAAACACATATGATTGTTTTTCCGTGGGTATTGAATTTAGGGGCAGATGCCAGTATAGTTTAGGGCTCTTGCCCGGGATATGTAGGTTCACCATGTCGATGATATTATTATAAGCAAATGAAGAAAGAGATTGTCTGAAAGAGGACAGATCATGAGGATACTATGTCAGTAAAAAAAGTTTATTAATCTCACTCTACTCTTCTGATATCCATGTAAATAGAAGGGTTTTGGCAAAAGGCTTTGCCCACTTTTGCGTAAAGAGCCTCGAGTCAGTTACCCGTAATAGATCATTTTGCTTTTGTTTTGAAAAATGAAAATATGTATGTTATTTTACGAATAAATAAATGAAAAACAAAAATGAATACATTTATGGTGTTTGTTAAGCATGGATCAGTGGTGGGACTATATCAAGGAATAAGGATGTAAATTTAATTATAAACAAGGAGAACACATAGAAAAGATCATCTGGGCTCTCACCTATGTGGGTTTGGTAGATAGAACTTGGAATTGCTATAGTTCTTAATTCTTCTACTAGGGTGTTGATTTAACAGTGGTCAGTATATTATATGCATTAGTAATTTAAGAAAATAAAAGAGAACCATTCTCAGGTTAATGGACTGTGATGACAACAGAGGTTTTTATGATAAAACAGGTACGACAGAACTAAGGTCTCTTAAAAAAAAATCTACACTACTTCTTCAATTTTCTAAAATTTGCCTTTTCCTCCACAGATTCAATATACTCATCTGACGTATTCATTATCTAGCGATGAAGGTCTTGACTGTTACTTCTGTGGATAAGGAGCAAAGGGACTGGTAAGTAACCGAGTTCATGTTCTTGGTTTGGAGTGGGTAATTCATGTCAGCCATGAAATTGTTTCAAAGGAATGAGCAGCTACCGCAAACGTAAATAAGGCCGCGAATGCCCCATGTGGGCCACTACTGGGGTGTGTAATGAACCACTGAGTAAGATGAATCCATTTTAGTGCAACTGAGGTACAGGAAAAACAAACTTGGAAAGTTTTACATTCTTTTTCACAGTTGCTTAATATTCCATTTATTTTTGCACCACATTTTAAGAAAATTGCTCTATCGATAACGAGGCCGGTCACTAGATCATTGGGAGAAAGCTCCTAGGACGATAGAAAGTATCAGTGTTCTAGTCGTAGGGTAAGATGGTAAGTCTATTCTACTATTTTTTAAAATATGAATAAATTAAAGAAAAGATGAACAAACAAAGAATGGTAAAACACGTGGATGGGCATGAAGCAAGGTTTTGATTAATCCATATGTGTAACACTGAGGTCCAATTAAAAAGAGATCTCATTTATTAGCTCCGTGGGAAAGAAACTTGTAAACAGCTCCCTGCAATATTCAAAGATATTGTTCTTGGGTTTTTGTGATTCACGGGAATCAATTTTTATCAGTAAAGCCATGAATCAAATAATGTTAATTAAATCTGACACTCTGAGGTCTGTTGGAAAGAGACCTAGTTATTTCCTCTAAGGGATCTGAGCTGACAGACGAAGTTCAAGTCCATTGGGGATTTGGCTCTTGGGTCTTAGCTCTTCCTGGGTCTGGATTGCATTGATGTGAATGAATTGGTGACTGTAAGAATGCATAAATGTGTAAGTGGGTGAAGATGAAGAGGGTCACATGTGGATCATTTATGAGACTGTGTCATGAAACAAGTATTATTAGTAATATTTTTGTTTACAGAGAGTTCCAATATAACACGTAGATAAAAATTATTGCTCCCTTTGGAGCACAAAGGGACTCCAGACACGTAGGCACGTAGTCAGATGCAGCCAAGTGTCCATATTGCCATTTTGGGTTGGTGGGAGGTTGCTGGTTGCTGGCTTTATTGAGAAGAAGGAAAAAATGTTTCCATAAACAAATGGTTACCTAACTATCTAATTAGGAGGAAGCAGGCGTGGGGCAGGGTTGAGAATATGTTATGTGACACCAGTTAGGATTAATCTAATTGTGTTCACTGATTTTATTAACAAAACAAAACAAATGAAAAGAGTTACATATAGTCAGTTGTTTCTGTGGGTGATGAGCCTCTGGGCAGTTGGTAGTATTTTTGGTGTTCAAGTGTAGGGTCTGTAGATTCTTGAGTAATTATATATTGTCATAAGTTATTGTGTGACTATGATTATATCTCAAATGATTACTTAAAATAGGGCAAACAGTGGAGAATATAGAACATGTGATGTGAAATAAGGTTAAATACTAATCCTGCTTATACCACGCTGCTTTCCATTTGAAGAAAATGAGACCTCGTTTCTTCATACTCGGATTAGGTACACGGAGACATGTATATGTAATAGTGGTATTTCAGTTCTGAGTTTCAGTTGAAGAGTTTACTATATTATATGTAATTTTATTATATTTTATATTTATATTATATATTATCTTATCACCCATATTTATACATTTTATGTATTTAGTATACAATGTATTTTTAAGAAAAATGAATAAATGGTCACATTATTTAATTAATAATTAAAAATAAGTGAAAGAATTGATAAAATCAGAAAGTTAGATAGAGCTAGAGTTATTGGTGAGAATGTGCCATGATGCTAGGTTTAAGTCAGTCCTGTTCTGCACACATAAAGTTCATGAATATGATAACTAAGAGTCGGGAATCTGCCCATGCGCACATGTGATGGTTACAATGAGCCTTAATCTTGAGTAGGATGTTGGGTTCAGTGACGCTTACTTACTACATTGCTTAAAAATAAAAATAAAATAAGCCGATAAATAAAAAGAAGTGCAGTTTTTGGGCCAATAATGCAAGTATGATATGATCCAGTTATACGGTCAAAAGTCACGTCCATGTAAAAACATGTAATGGTATTTCCAATTTTAGGGATTTTATAGAAACACCAACCATTGACCAAGGATGGGAATATGAACCAAAGTTCATGATGAATAATTTTTCGGGCCACACAATAGTCCGTTTTAGTGTGGCACCAGAATGTATTCAGACTTCCCTCTCTTAATCACAATGGAGGCCGTTTACTTGTTGAGGGCGGTGAGCATAGGAGTGTGGAAGAAAGCGAGCCTGCTTTCGTTGCGTGAAAAGGTGGCGGTTCATAGTTATTCATTCTGCCATCTTCACAATGTGCACACGTTAAAGAGACGAGCCCAAACCTGTCATTGGGGTGGCACTGAGATGAAGCACAGCCGTTGATCGGTCCTCACACGCAACCCAGCAGGACACTGAAGAAAGACCTCAAGTTCATTAGGTCTGTGGGACAAGTGTGAATAGACTTAATAGTCATTCATCTTGTTCTTGGCATTTGTGATTCTGGGTATTGATTGTATTATAATTTATGCGTGTAAAAATGATTCAGAAAGGAAGATAGTAATGGAGACCAAAAATGTCAAGTCTAGACCCACGATGAGCATCCCAGATGTTTGAACTAAGGGTCTGGTTAAACTCTGTGGCTCTGAGGTCATCAGAAGAAGAGGTCTAGTTACTTCCTCTGAGGTAAATTTCTGGTGGTGAGAGGAAGGAGTATTCAGGATCCCGTTCTCGGGTTCTGTGTTACTTGGGGATGGGTATTTAAAATTATAAGTCAAATAATTCATGAGTAAGGAAAGAGACGAAAAAATGAATGAAGACCCGGAAAGCCACACGTTGTTCAATTACGAACACAGGTTTTGAAACTCGTCTGAAACACTGCGGTCTGGGAAAAGCACTGGATCAAGGTTTCAGCCCTTTTAGCAGTGAGCAAATAGACAGGTATGCCCGCGATTGAATGTTGTTATTAGGGATGGATGGTGGGTGGCCGATTGTTGATTTTATTAAGAAAAGAGCAAAATGTTTGCGTAAATAAATAATTTTATAATTTAAAAAATGATCGTGGACTAATGACGAGATTATATCCTATGACAAGAGTTTAATTTAAGATGGTTTACTCTGAGCATATGATCACGTTAATATCATTCAAAGTTTTTGTCCAGAGTTATAATTATAATAATGACATAATTATATATTGTTATAAGTGAATGAATAGATTCATATTTTATTTAAAAGATGTAAAACACACACCAGTGATGAGCTTTATTAGGAAATAAGGATAATGACTTTTGTTTTATACAACTGATATCCATATTTTTTAAAAACCTAGGCTTTTTAAAAAACCTTTTAAAAGGTTTTTTTAAAAAACCTTTTCCCATTTTTTACATAATGTGCATATAGCCAGATGCCCATAATAGTATGGATTTCGGTCCTGGGTTGCTAACCATTTTGCCTTTATGTAGTAAATAACTGGTGAAATTATTCCATAAATAATTAAATGTGTAAACGAATGAATGAATGAATGAACGAATACATTAAGTAGAGTCAGACTGGACCATTGTTAAGAATATGCCGTGAAACAAGGCTTTAAATTTATCTAGGCGGCACAAGAAAAATCGGTTAAAATGGACAATCCAGGCTTTACTTATGTAAAGTATTTAGACATATTTATAACAGTCATACTTCTGACTTGTGGGTTAGGTGGTAGATTCAGTAGTGCTTATTACATTGTTTAAAATCGAAGTTAAATAATTAAGTAAAAAGTAATGATGCTCTCAAGCTAATGAAACAAAGCAAGTCTTACGTCTAATCTGATCTAAGACTCTACAGTTAGTATCCTTTAAATGTACCTAAATTTATGTTTTTTCATTATTTTTAAAGCCTACTTTTTACCTTAGATTTAACACACCATAGCTGATTTAATCATATCTAACGATGAATATTTTGGCTGATACCTTTGTGTTTAAGAAGCATAATAGTAAGGTAACATTCAAAGTTTATATATTTGGTCAGGGGGACTCTTTTATTGACATGATAGTCGATTTCAACATTTTTCTCTCAATGAGAAGGAATACCTGGAGCTGCACGGAGGCCATGGCAGACAGAGACCTAATGGATAAGCTTTATGGGAAATGAGCATACGGAGAGATCTTAGTGATATTCAAAGATCTTGTTTTTGAGATTTCGTGATTTATTTTCATTGATTAGTATTGGATCGGTGAATGAGTCAGTTAACATATTGTTAATTTGGTTAACAATTTGTCAGAAGAGTGTAAAGCTTGGGCCAATGATGACTCCTGGAGTGGGGGCTGGGTCTGAATCCCAAACCGTGATTAACCCCTGCCTGGAAATCTGGGGACTGTTGTAAAAAAGAGATAAGGTGAACTCTTTGGGGAAGAGACCCCATGGATGGATAAAGAAATATGTAAATGAACGAAGATAAGGAGGGCCACATTTGGACCAATGATGACATTATGAAATAAGACATCGATTATTATTGGTGCATATTTGAAACCCTGGGCTTCATAGATGAACAGATCATAGCTGTGAACCCTTCCGTGAGGGTAATATGGCCAGATATACCTAAGAGGCTATGTTGCTGCTTTAATTGTTCGATGGGGTGTTTTAATTAGAAAAAGGACAAAAAAAAATGTTTACATAAATAAACAATTGCTTAAATAATTGTCTTACTGAAAGAGGGCCAAACACGAACCAACACGGAGAAGTGTCACAGGACCAGAGTTATGATGAGTCTAACTCTGTTCCCCAAGTTTTATAAAAAATCCGAGAGGAGTCAGTCAATTATGTTTGTGGGCCATGAGCATGTAGGGAGCATAATCATCGCTGTGATCTGGTGTCTTGGTTCACTGATACTGAGCTGTTTGTATCAGGCATCACAGGAGTACGTTCACATATCGATTAATTATTCAGAAGGAGGCGGAGCAAGGGCCAGTGAGGTGCATGTGCTGTGAACCAGATGTGATTGCTCCTGGTGTGCCCAGATGTTGTCCAGATGAAGAAAGGGAATGTTAGGTTCCTTTGGCTAAAGTCCACATAGACATGGAGAAATTCTCTAGAGAAATGGGTACAGAATTAATTTACTTTATGCTTAATTACATACAAGAATAAACAATGAATCGCTAGACATGTGAATCAGAAAAATTTGTGTGCGACTGGCGAGAACATGCCACAAAGCAGATTTATATTTATTCGAGCTTGCACGTGCGAGGGCCACTGGCAGCAGTCACTGAGCCGTTAAATCTGTTAGCAGGGAGGACGAGGGTAGGTGTTTCTGACAAATAATGGTGCTTATTCTCGTGTTCGGGTTCACCGTATTATTGAAAAATAAAAATTAAATGAGTCAATAAGTAAGGTGTACCATTCTTGGACAATGATGAGATTATGAAAATGACCCCAGTTTGTAATTAATCTAACAGTGCAACACTGACTTCTACTAGAAAAAAATCTAATGCTAGATTGTTTTTTTCCTTTGAGTGTCTACATTTTTACCAAACGAACCACACACCACAGATGATTTCATCTGTGCTAAAGATCTTGGCTTTTACACACTCTGGGTAAGGAGAGAGGAGATCGATGTCAGTAAGAGTTAGAGTTTATGTTCTTGGATCGGGAGGTTGGTTTCTGGGTGTCAATTGAATTTTTCAAAGTTATAAATGGATATATTAATAAATAAAACCAAGTAACACCAGCACAGGCCCAAATTGGGATTTATGATTAACCTGATTCCGTACTACTAAAATCCCATAAGAAAGACGAAAGGCGTTTCATTCATTTTCAGGGCTGCTTCATGTTGCGCTTTATTTCCGCATGGCAGCTCATTTAAGTGCTTCTCCATTAATAAAGATTTAGGCTAATTTCTTGAGGGAGGAACGCATAGGAAGATGGACAAAATTGTTGGTGTACTAGTTGTGGAGTAAGATTATGGGTCCCTTGGTGACTCATTGCATCGTCTTTAAATGAAAAAGGGCCAAACATGGACCAATGGAACTGATAGGAAGCGAGGATGTTGATTAATTTATATGTGCAAACGCACACACGTATTGCAAAGATTGTCATTATCTATTAGCACTGTGGAAAATGGGCATTGGGACAGTTGTTCTTAGGCTTTTTTTGATTCATGGGATTTGATTGTATTATTATTATTAGTAGTAGTAGTAGTAGTAGTAGTAGTAGTAGTAGTAATAGTAGTAGTGAATCAATGAATAAAAGAATATATAATGTGTAAATAAAGGAATTAAAAGGTGTCCAGTATAGACAAATGATGAGTACTCTGAGGTGTATGCTTCAAAGATTTTGATTAAACTCTCTAACTTTGAGGTCCATTAGAAATAAGACATCTCGTTATTTCCTTGGAGGGGAGGGGGGATATAGCAAAATTAGGAGTCAGTGAACATCAGGTTCTTGAGGCTCTTGAGCTTTAGTTCTTAATGTCTGTGGACTGTAAGGGGAGCGGCGCGAGAATAAGTAAGGAGTGTGCCGATGAACGGTGACCAGGTGTGCGAGTCTGCAGTGGAACAGGGGTTATTACGAATCCTGTGATTTCCTGAAGCACTGAGTTTAGTAACCGAAATAGATCACTATTTTCCATAAAGGATGCCGTGTATCCCGTGAGCGTCCATGTTGTTTTGGGTTGGTGGCGGGTAACTGGTTGTCGGTTTCATTCAGAAAAGGAGCAAATCATTTACATTAAAAATAATTATTTAGATAAGTGCCTGATTGAGTAAAGGCCGAGCGCAGACCAGTCTTGAGAATATGATAGGTATAAGCACACCGATTTTGTTCACCGACTTTTGTTTACAAAAGCAAACAGGACCTAGCAGGTTATATCCGTGGACAGTGAGCATAGGGACAGATACTGGAATCGGTCAGTATTCTTGCTCAGTGTCCTGGCTTGTATTCGTTTTGAATGTATTGCTAAAGTAAATGAATGAACAAATGAGTTTATATTTTGGTCAGTTATTCAAAAGAAGGCAGAGAGCATGAGTTAGTGAGAAGTGGGTGTCATAATACAAAGATAATGATTCAATCGTTTCAGATGAGGAAAAAAATCTAGACTTATCTCATTTTAGATAAAGTGCGTAATGCAGTTGCATGAAATGGTCTTTCAATTCTGGATTACTGGTGGGTTTTACTCTTTTTCTCTAAAAAAATGAATAAATGATCAAATTAATCTTTTACGCCTAATTAAATTAAAGACACATCAGTGGGTCAATAAATGTAGAAATTAGGGTAAATTTTGGACTAATGCTTCATGGCACGCTCTAAGCAATGCACGAATATAGTCCTTGAAAAAGATTATTGAGGCTGTGAGCTATGTGGTTAGGGAATGTATACAGGTGGATGGTAGCACTGGTTACATTTACGACTCATGTTGGGTGCTGCCTCTAACAGTGTTTACTCCATTAATGAAAAATTAAGCAGTAAATAAATCAATACATTCAAACTAGAGTCATTCTCGAGTCAAAATCGAGAATGTGATAGGAATGGAGGTTTATGATTAACCTAGTCCCTCGTGATCTCGGCCCACTGAAAAACGTTAGTCTCTGCCATTCCGTTCTGTATAAATGTGCGTTTTACTTTACAGAATGAAAATGCAGTAGCTGATTTAACTGTTCAATAGCAATAAATATTTTAGTTTTTACCTCTGTGGGTAAGGAGTCTAGAGACTGTGGTACATAGTAGTCAGAGTTCACGTACTTGGTTTAGGTGGTTTGTTCTTTATGACATTATGTCAAAGGAATAAATACTGAATGCATAAATAAAATCAAAGGATGCCACACAGGGACCAATAACGGAAATTAACCAGAGTTTATGATTAGTCCATTTCAGTGCAACCGAGGTCCATGAAAAATGATGGAGGGCTTTTATTCATTTTTACAGTTTTTAGTATAAGATTTTGTGCCATGGTTAATTTAAACATTTTTTCAGTGATAAGATCTCGGCCATCGATTCTGCTAGAAGGGGACAGCTAGGAAGAGGGAAGACAGGGTCATTGTATGACGTGACCATGGTCGGTTGGTCGTTGTATCGTATTGGTTATCTATTGATGTATAACAAGTCACCCTCCAATTTAGTGGCTTAAAACGACAGTAAACGTTTATTAGTCACAGTTTCTCTGGGGCGGGAATCCAGGACAGTGGGCAGTTTTTCCTATCGTGGGGTTGCAGCCAAGATTTCAGGTAGAAGTGCAGTCATCTGAAGGCTCGACCGGGGCCAGGGACCTGCGTCCATGGCTCACTCACACGGCCGGCACGTTGGAGCGGGTTGGTGGGAGGCCACAGTCCTTCCCTCCTGGACCTCTCCTCAGAACTGCTTGAGTATCCTCACAATATGACTTCCTCTGCAGCAGCCAGTCCAAGAGAGAGGAAGGTGGAAGCCCAAACGTACGTGTAGAGTAGACTTGGGTCATATACCATCACTTCCACATAGAGGCCAGGCGTGAGTTAATGGAGGCGACACAGGGCCAGCACTACCAGAGCTCAGGGGTCAGTGGGAACCATCTTGGAGGCTGGCTACCACATGTACCATCCTTAAAACGTGAAGAAATTAAAAGAAGGGCGAGCACGGACAAAGTATCCATGTAAGATTGATATAAAGCAAGGGAGTTGATAATCTACATGTATAATGCTCAGATCCATTGCAAAAAACATGTAGTCTTTTAGTTTTATGGGAAATAAGTCTATAATACAGCTTAGCCAGATTCTAGGCTCTTGCTTTTAGATTTTTTTTTTTATTCACGAGTATTGACTTTGTCATTATTAGTGACTTAACGAGGGAGTCAATAAAGAGATACGAGTGAATGAACGAGTGGATGCCAAGTGTGGACCACTGGGGAACATTCCGGGGTGTCTGAATCATGATTTTAATTAAACCCCACACCTCTGAGGCCAGAGAACTCGTTCAGCCTACATGGTAAATAAGCTTACAGCAGATGTTAGTAATATTTAGGATTTTGTTCTCGGGCTATTAAGTTAATAGGTCAGGATAATATTACTATAAGTAAATTAATAAACGAAGAAATAAATATACAAGGACAGGGAGAGCCATATGTGCCCTAATTATGAGAGTGTTTAATGTATTTATTAGTATTAATATATTTCCGAGGCACTCAGTTCCAATGTAAATTGATGAAATCTGATACCTGTTTGGGTAAGGAGCACATAAAGATAGAAACTAACGCTGCTTTTATTGTTTGGAAGATACTGGTTGCTTATTGAAAACAAGAAAACGTGATCTCGTTGGTTCAATCTGAGAGTAACGAGCATATAAACAGCTGCTAGTACCCTTCGGATTTCTAATCCACTTAGTATGTTCATGGATATTGATGATTTTATGAGTGAATGAGATGAGGACATTTCCATCACTTTCAGAGTTGACTACTATTCCACTTTATAGCTAATTTAAATTTCTACAAGCGACCGAGGTTTTTGACTCTTTAAAAGAAGCACATAAGAATATGGTTGATATTGTTAACCATATTTTGGGGTCAAATGGTGGGTTCGTGGTCATTTTTTTGTACCACATTTAAAATAGGGGCAAATGAAATAAAAAGGAGCAAGCATAGACCAGCGCTAAGAAGCAAGGAATTTCGTTATATGTGTGTGATCTTAAGATTCGTCTGTTGATCTTAGCGGTTTCAGCATTATTATTTCTTGGGATTTGGGGATTTTTATGTGTCCCTTTTGTTATTGATAGTTAGTCAATGAATGAATCAATAAACAAAGATGCAAGTGAATAAAGAGAAAGAGTCCAAGCCTAGACCGATGACGAATGTCCTGGGATTTCTGAATCAAGAATGACGATTAAGCGCTGTACCTCTGATAGCCGTCCGAAAAAGCAGATTAGGCAATTATCTCCGATGGAAATGACATATAGCAGAAGTTCGAAAGTGTCAGATCTTGTTTTGGGTCTGGTGAGGTTCTTGAGTGTAGATTATACTTTTATGAGTAAATCAGTGTGTGAATAAAAGCCTGAAATAAGTAACTGAATGAAGACTAGGATGATCTTAATTGGGCCCATTATGAGAGTCTGTAATGAAATAAGGAACGGGACTAATACAATTTGGAAGTGTCGAGTTCCAGTAAAACAAACAGATGGAGGCTCTTACAATTTGGGGAAAGAAACATAAAAAGACAACCGTATGTAAGAGTCAGTGTTGCTGGTGATGAGTAGCGGACATTTTTTTATTTTCGATGTCGCCTCTTTTTTAAAAAGACTTTATTTTTTCCAGCAGTTTTAGGTTCACAGCAAAATTGAGCAGGTGGTAGGGATCTCCCATAATCCCCCTCTGCCCCCACACACTGCCTTCCCCATTATTAGCATCTCACACGAGTGGTTTGCTATAATTTATGAACCTACATTGACATGTTGTTATCACCCAAAGTCTATACATTCCAATAGGGTTCACTCTTGTTTGTAAATTCGGTGGCTTTAGACCAATGTATAATGACGCCTGCCCACCATTAAAGTATCACACAGAACATTCTACTGCCTTGAAAATCATCTGTGCTCTGCCTCTTCATCCCCCCCTCCCCTTGAACCTCTGGCAACCTCTAATCCTTTCATCGTCACTAGTTTTGCCCTTGCCAGAATGTTCTATGTTCGGAACCATATAGTATGCGGTGTTTACACATTGTCTTCTTTCACTTAGTCATACACATGTAAGTTTCTTCCACGTCTTTTCATGGTTTTGATAGCTCCTTTCTTTTCAGCAGTGAATAATCTTCCTTGTCTGGATGGCACGTAGTTCATTCTTTTACCCACTGAAGGGTGTGTGGTTGGTTCCAAGTTTTGGCAATTATAAATAAAACTGCTATAAACTTCCATATGCAGGTTTTTGGGTGGACGTAAGTTTTCAGCTTCTTTGGGAAATTCCAAGGAGTACAATTGTTCGATCATATGGTAAGATCGTTTGTAAGAACGTTTAGGTTGGTAAGAAACTGCCAACACCTATTCTAAGGGGTGTGCAGTGGCATCTAGTTGTTTCCATTTGCATTTCCCTGATGACATCTGATGAGGAGCGTCTTTGCATACGCTCATTTGTCAGCTGTGTATCTTCTTTGGTGAGGTGTCTATTCAGGTCTTTGGCTCATTTTTAATGAGGTTGTTTGTTTTCTTATCGTTGACTTATAAGTGTTTTTCGTATGTTCTGGGTAACAGTCAATTAGCAGATGTGTCTTTTGCAAATATTTTTTCCCAATCTGTGCCTTGTCTATTGTTCTTTTGACAGTTTCTTTGCACAGCAGAAAAATTTAATTTTAACGAAGTTTAGTTTATTAATTATTTTTTTCCCTGTGTCGTATCTTTGGTGTCGCGTTTAAAAAGTCATCGCCAAACCCAAGGTCATCTACATTTTCTCCTACATTACCCGCTAGGAGTTTTATGGCTTCACATTTTACATTTGAGTCTGCAATCCATTTTGAGTCAATCTTTGTGAGAGGTGTAAGGCCTGTGTTTAGATGCCTTTTTCTGCATGTGGGTATCCAGTTGCTCTAGTACCATTTGTTGAAGAAGTTGTCTTGTTTCGTTGTGTTGCTCCTTTGTCAAAGATCAGTTGGCTCTCTTTATGTGGGCCTATTTTCTGGGCTCTCTATTCTGCTCCATGGATCTTTTTTGTCTATTTGGCTAATACCGCACTGACTTGATTGCTGTCGCTTTATACTCAGGCTTGAAATCACGTAACGCTAGTCCTCCCACTTTGTTCTTCTTCGGTATTGTGTTGGCTGTTCTGGATGTATTGCTTGTTCACAAAAACTTTAAGATCATTTTATCTACATCCATTAAATAACTTGCTGGGATTTTGATTGGGATTGCAGTCAACCTATAAATCAAGTTATAGAGAACTGACATCTTGACAGTGAGTTTCCCTGTCCATGAACATGGAATATCTCTTCATTTATTTAGTTCTTTTTTGATTACTTTCATCTGAGTTTTGTGGTTTTCCTCATATAGACCTTGTACATATTGTGTTAGATTTATACCTAAGTATTTCATTTTTTGGATTCTAATGTAAATATCATTGTATTCTTAATTTCAAATTATACTTGTTCATTGCTGGCATATAGGAAAGTGATTGACTTTTGTATGTGTTTTCTACACAGATGACCATGTGTTCTGTTAACAAAGGCAGTTTTATTTCTTCCTTCACGAATAGTATACTTTTTATTTCCTTTTCTTGCTTTATTGTGTTAGCTCTAACTCCTAGCACAATGTTGAAATGAAGTGTTGAGCGAGAACATCCTTACATTGCTACTGATTAGAGCTTCTAATTTTTCATCACTAAATATGATGTTAGCACTAGGTTCTTTGTCAAGTTGAGGAAATTTCTCTCTATTTGTAGTTAGAGTTTTTATCGTGAATGGGAGTTGGATTTTGTCAAATGCTTTTTCCGCATCTATTGATATGATGTGATTTTTCTTCCTTAACCTGTTGATGTGACAGATTACATTAATTCACTTTTCAATGTAGAAACAGCATTGCATATTTTGAGTAAATTCCAGTAGGTCATCGTATATTTCTTTTTATACTTTGCTGAGATTCCATTTGCTAATCTTTCATTGAGGGTTTTTGCATCTTTATTCATGAGAGACGTTGTTCTGTAGTTTCTTTTTTCTTATAATGTCTCTCTTGTTTTGGCATTGCTGGCCTCACGGAACGTGTGAAGAAGTATTTCCTCTGCTTCCATCTTCTGAAAGAGAGTGTAGAGAATGAGGATAATTTCTTCCATAAATATTTGGTAGAATTCACCAGTGAACCCACCTGGGCCTGATGCTTTCTGTTTTGGAAGGTTATTAATTATTGAGTCAACTTCTTTGATAGATATAGGCCTATTCAAATGGTTTATTCTTGAATGAATTTTAGCAAATTGTGTCTCTTGAGGAATAGGTCCATTTCATTGAATTGTTCATGGTATTCTTTGATAATTCTTTTAATATCCGTGGGAACTGTGGTGATTTCTCCTCTTTCATTTCTGTTATTAGTAATTTGCGTCCTCTCTATTTTTTTCCCCCCTGTAGTTAGCCTGGCTATAGAGGCTTATTGATTTTATCGATCTTTTCAAAGAACCAGATTTTGGCTTCATTGATTTTTCTCCATTAATTTTCTGGTTTAAATTTCTGCTTTAATTTTTATCATTTCTCTTATTCTGCATACTTTGGACTTAATTTGTTCTTTTTCTAGTTTACTAAAGTAGAAATTTAAATTACTGATTTGAAATCTTTAAATAAAAATTGTATATATTTAAGGCGTACAATATGGTGTTTCGATTAACGTACATAGCGAAATAATTACTACAGCCAAGCTAATAACATACCTATTGACAAACATCTCCCTGTTTCTTTCCTCTCCCCACTCCTAGTAACCACTGTCTGTGTCTATGGATTTTTTTAGATTCTGCGCATAAGTGAGAAACGCATCTTATTTCACTTAGCATAATGTCCTCCAAGGTCATCCATGTTGTTGCAAATGACAGAATCTTCTTTTTTTTAAGGCTGAATAATATTCTACTGTTTGTACGTATACCATAATTTCTTCATCTATTCATCTGTCAGTAGACACTTTGTTTTTCTTTTCTGATGTATGCATTCAATGCTATAAATTTCCCTGCAAGTGCTACTTTTACTGCATCCATTTTTTAAAAGCAACAAGAAACATTTACATAAATGGATATGTGATTGAGTATATATCTTATTGAATGAAAAGCAATTACGGCCACATCTTGAAAATGTGTCATATAGGAAACATTATGATTGATCAGATTGTGTTCACTAAATTTTTATTAACAACCCAAGAATGATTTACTCAGTTTTTTCTGTGACTAACAAGTAGATAGATATTAGTATCATTTAGGATTTATTTCTAGTGTCTTTGCATTCCCAGATATTGAAGTATTGTTATAATTGGACAAATGAAATACATTCTATCTTAATTACTTAAAATAAGAGAAAATGCAGGCCAATGAGACAATGATAATTATTAATTTGGGTTTTCCTTAGTGATATTTATGGAAAGAAAAATTTCTAGAGTAATCCCATTTTTGATTAGGGGCACGTAGATCATTACATCTAATTGCTATTTCTCTTCTGGATGACTGGCTGGTTTACCAATTTAACTTTTTAATATAATGAACATAGGCTAAATCATCCCATAAATAATTAAATAAATGAATAAATGAATGAATGAACATATAAAATAGAATCAAGCAGGAAGCATTGGAATGTGAAATAAGGTTTTTAAAAGATCCCAATTCTACAAAAGTAACATCCGTTAAAATGATCTTTTATTCCGTTAAAATATAAAGATATTTTTGATAGTTATTGTTCTTACTCTTATGTCAGGGATTCAAAAGTGGTTATTACATTATTTAAAAGTAAAAGTCAAATACTAGACTAACTGAAAAGGACCAAATGTTAGCACTATCTGGTTCCACATAATTAACATACATTAAAAATCTAGGTTAATTCTACTTTGTCCTCTACAGAATGGCTACAGGACAGTAGACTTATTCATCCCCTAAGAAACAAAATCTTGGCAGCCAGCTCTGCGGATAAAGAGCAGAGTAAGTAAGACTTGAAGTTCCCATTGTTGGTTGGGACGCTTTGTTTACAAGTGTTTAACGGTTTTTCAAAAGAATCAATGCATATCAAAGAAAGAGCCCCTCTCCCCCCAAGTATGGACCAGTGATGGGAATATGTTCTGAATCAAAAATCACATTTAATCTAATTTGGCACAACTGAGGTAATTAAAAAAAGATAGTAGTCAGTTCCTTCATTTTCTAAACTATTGAATATTAAATTTTTTTTCTTCCACAAACAACTTAAACATTTCCATATTGGCGTGGTCCTGGCTGATAACTGTGTGTGTGTGGCAGCTCATAAGCAAATGGAAGACGCTGTTTTTTGAGAAAGGATTAAAGATGGTGGTTTCACCATTTTTCATTGAACCATCTTTGAAACATGGACTAATTGAATAAAAGAAAGCTGCAGAAGGACCAGTGATGGATGTAGATTTGGTATGAAGCATAGATGATGATTGATCACACATGTTCCCTGAGGTCCACTGCGAAAGGGGGTCTGGTCTAGACACTCTATTGGAAAGCACCACCAATGGGAAGAACGTTCCTGGGGTTTTATGATTGCATTGTTATTCATGGATCGATGAATAAATAAATGAAAGTAGAAAGGAAAAATATACCTGGACCAATGATGAGTACCATGGGGTATCTGAAACAGGAGTTTTGATTAAACCCGTATGCAACTCTGAGGTCCACGTGGTTACATGTTGTTATTCCCTCTGTGGGAGACGAGCCCATGTTACCTTGTGCTTGGGCTTTTGTGGTGCTTGGGCATAGGCTGTATTTTTATTATGTTACTGACCCACCAATAAATAAAATGTATCAATGAATGAAAAAAAGAGGACAGGTTATGCACTTATTATTAAGGAATGTAATGAAATATGGATCATTACTAAAGTATGACTGAGATTCTTCCTGCCCTGGAAAGGAGTAGCCAGCCAGTCATTTGTACATTAACACTCGGAGTTTTATTCTGTGTTGGTGATGGGTTGCTGACTGATTGTTTTATTAAGGAAATGGAAACACATTTACTCATATAAATAGTTGGTTAAATAACCACATAACTGAGAGCCAGGCAGGGATGAGAATGTTTTATATGACAACACTCATAATTAATCTGATCTTTTAAAAAACTGATTGTTATTAAAACAATAAAAAGAAGCAAGTCTGTTATTCTTGACGGCAATGACTATGGACAGCCGTGTGTTTTGTTCTGTGTTTATGTTTTGGGAATAAGATCACAGATACCGATGTCTTCGTATAAGAGAAAGAAGGTATATTTTTATATCTGAATCTCTTCTTAAACAATCAGCAAACCATGGACCAATTAGGAACACGTTTTGATACGAGGATACCGAGTCGTCTTGTTTTCCAACAGTACACAGTCTAGGAAATAGTGTAGGTTCTTTAATTTTTCAAAAGGTGCACCTAGACCTTTCCAAGTTGTAGTAGTTTGCTCCTGGATTGGAGTTGAACCATTCTGAGTCTTCTTTAGAAAAACGAGGACATGATATTCCCTGAATGATAAAATAAATCAGTGAGTAAGTGAATCAATACATACACGAGGTAGAGGATTGGTGAGATTGTTTCATGAAACAAATTAAATATGCCCAATTCTGTACAGAGAAGTCCAATGGAAAGATGATCTTAGCTCTCCCTATGTAGATAGAAAGTCAAGCCAGATGTCTTCAATTGTTATAGTTCTTATTTTGTGTTGGGCAATGAATTTAATGGTGTTCATATTATTTAACAGTAAAATTTAAGTGAGTAAGTAAAAGATAGCCATTCTTGGGAAAATGATGAGAATGCGATGTATAGTAGGGTTTACGATTAGTCTTCCTGACAAATTTCAATTTAAGAAGACCAACTCCATCTTCATTGTTTTAAAAACAGGCTATATTTTTTCCCTCTGTAGAATGAATATTACACTGTTCGCTGATTTACTTGTTCTCTACCTATTGGGACTAAAGAGCATGAAGACCAGTGTAAGTAAGAAAACATCAACAGTGGTGTTCTAAGCTTAGATGGGGTAGTGTGTGGGAGCCCACAAAATTATTTCGGCAAAATAAGTAGTTAAATAATACACAGAATCAAGGAATGTCAGTCATGAGCCCTGATTCGAATGTGTCATGAGCTAAAATTTATGATTCGTTCAACTCAACCCAACTAAGGACCATTGCTTTAGCGGTGGAGGGCATTTCACATGTTTTCAGAGCATGTTAACGCCCCGTTTAATGTTCTTGTCTCATTTATCTAATGTGTTCCTCCGTTGATAAAGATCTCAATTGTTAACTCTCTGAGGCTGGAGTACCTTAGAAGATGGCAGATGTCAGTTCCGTCCACTGTGAGTTAAGATGATAGGTCTGTGGTTATGGATTACACCAACTTTAATATATAGACAAAGCCAGCGAGAGAGGAGCCGGAGGCCACTAACTCTAAGAAAGGGATTGATACGAAAGAAGAGGGCTGAGTCCTCCCTATGTGTGAGACAGAGGTTCATCACGAAAAGCAATCGAGTCCATTTGCTCTGTGTGAACAAAGGCGATGAACAGAGCTTGGTTGTATTTAAGACTTTTATTCTCGGTTTTGTGTCATTAAAGTTTATTGATTCTATAATTATTATTCACGAACCCATGAATGAGTGAATCAATTCAAAAAGGCATAAATGAGCGAAGCGGTAGAAAGCCCCGTGTGGATCAATGATGAGGACCGGTCGAGGTACCCGAATCCACACCTCTGAGGAAGGCCTCTGTGTGACTGAGGTCCATTGTGAAAAGAGAACCAGTCAATAGTCCCTGTAGAAATTAGCCGAGAGTACAAGTTAGGAAAATTCAATAAACTTGTTTCTGGGCTTTTGTGGTTCATGGATATGGATTGTATTATTTCAAGTGGATCGATGCATGAGTAAATAAAGAGATGTATGTATATGAAAGGCTAAGAGGCCTACTCATGGACCGACTAGGAGCGTACAATAAAATAAGCATAATATTAATACGATTCTGAAGTAAAATGAACAGGCTTAGCCCATAGTTCTCTTTCACACGAAACATGTTAGTATCCGTAGTTCAGTGGCAATGTTTTGAGTTTCTGTAGTTTGCTGGGGGTTTTCTTAATATTAAGAAAAGGGAAAGGCTTTGCATCAGTCAATAATCCATTAAATAACCTTCTACTTAATAGATATCCATGTAGGTGGATATTTGTAGTCCTTATAGATCTTATTCTTGGGCTAGGGGTGGACTTCATAGTGTTTATTATACTATTTAAAGCTAAGAGTTCAATACTGGATTAATAAAAAATTGCATTTTGGAGCCGACATTTATTGTTATCTAGTTCTTCTTAACAACCATTAAAACACCTCAATCTAGTCTAACTCTGCTTTTCCCTCTGTAGAGTGAATGTAGGACAGTTGATTGAAAGGATCGATGTCAAGAGCAAAGAGCATCAAGACTAATATAAGTAAGTCCCTTAGTTCACAGTCTTTGTTTGGCTAGTTTGTTCATGGCTTGTGTCTGAAGAATTTCAAAGCAACCTTTCTGTGCTACATACATGAAATAGAGGAAAGTATAGATGAATGATGGGAATGTGTTATAAACCAAAAATGATGTTTCATCTAAATCAGCACAACTGAGGTCATTTTCAAATAAGCTAGGAGTTATTTAATTTATTCTCAGAGCAGGTTAATATTATTCTTTATTCTCTACGTGGTTGATTTAAGCATTCTCTTATGGGTACAGCTGCCTGGTAACCCTCTGAGGGTGGCTCGGAGGGGACCAAAGATGGTGGCTTCATTATTTTTCATTGAACCGTCTTTGACGTCTGGTCGCATTAAACAAAAGAGAGCCAAACAAAAGAGAAGCAAGGCTGAATATGCTACGGAGGGATGGTGCCCCCTCCACAGGTGCAGCCATTACAAAGGAGGTGTGGCTTATTAGCTTTATAGGACGAGAGCGAAAAACGCAAGGATCTTGTTTGGGAATTTTGTGATTCTTTTAGCATTTGTGAATCAGAAAATTAATCAATAGATTACCAAGCGTGGACCAGTGATGAATGTCATGGGGTTTCTGAAATAAGAATTTTGATTAAACCCATCTGTAACTCTGAGGTCCATTACGATGAGACGCCTCGCAGTCCCCTTTGTGGGAAATAAGCCTATAGCACCTTTTCTTGGGCTTTTTGTGGTTTGGGATATGAATCGCATTATTATAATAAAATTAGGCCATGAATAAAGAAATATGCCAATGAATGAAATATGAGAGCTATGCGTGCACTACTTTTCAAGGCATGCGATGAAACATGGATAATTATTAAAACAATTTTAAGATTCTCAGTCCCAATAAATTGATAGTGAAGGCTTTCATCACTTTGGTAAGGAGCATATGGTCATTGTACATCAAAGTGAATGTTTTTGTTCTGTGTCGAGGCAGATGGCCAACTGATCATTTTATTAAGGAAAGGGAAAGATATTTACAGAAAAAGTTAATTGAATAAACTACGTGAGACGGGGAGTGTGGAGCAGCGATGAGACTTTTATTCAGCCACATTAATGATTGATGCGATCTTTTAATGCAATTTCATGTAAGCAAACATTAAAGAATCCAGTTTGCTATTCTTTAGGGAACTGACATAGAACATAGATGAATATTATTCAAGGCACTTCTCCGGTGTGTGTGGGTGGGCTCACATATATTGAAGGATAATTGTAAGTGAACAAATGTAAATATTTATAGCTCGGTGGGTCAACAGTACATCAATGGAAAGCATGCAACTGGCTATTAAGATCGTGATTCGTCATAATTTGACACAAGGGACACCCATAGAAAGGCAAAGGGTTCTGTATGCTCCTTCAGGAGCAATAGATAGATGAGAACGTCAATGTTGTTTTTTCTGGGCTGGTAGTGTGTTTCTAGTTGCACAGTTCATTTTAAAAAAGGACAAAAAACTTACATAATCGCATAATAATAATAATATAACAAATTCAATAATAATATAACATCATGATAAACACATTGGTATATATTATGTTAATAAATAATATAATCAATAAAAATATAAATGATTAGTAATTGAAACATGGAAGCGGTCTAAGCATCGAAAACATGACTATAGTAATTGCTAATCTTCTTGTGTTCATTGATTATTTAAAAAGAAAAATGTAGATACATTTCGTGGATGATTTCTGTGGGTCATAAGCCAATGGATAGATTTTCATCGTCACTCAGTGTTATTGTGCAATGTCCTTAGGGTTCACCAGTACTGGTGCTATTATTATAAGTGAGTGAAAGAAAAATTTTATACCTCAATCCATTATTTAAAATAGCGGAAAGCACGGGCCAGTGAGAAGCAGATGTTCTATGAAGGAGCATGATAATTCCTGCTCTACCCTCTCAAAATCCACTTAAATAAAAAAAAAAAAATCCAGCCTCCTCCTTCTTTAAGGAAAGATCATATAGACCCAGTCTTTTAAATACACCTTGCTATTAACATTTCGATTCAAATGAATTAAAAATAAAAATTCAGTTACTCAGGAACACCAGCCCCATTTCGTCCAGATGTGGCCAGTGGCTACTCTCTTGGGCGGTGCTCATAAGGAACATTGCAGACATGCAGAGATAGAAGTCGCATGTAATAGTATTTAGTTTGGGGTGGCACTCGGCTCTACCATTTTGTGTTTTCTTTAAAAAAAAAGAGCAGGTAATTAAATTATCCTTAGAGTTATTAAATAAATGAATAAATAGGTTATTCAATAAATACACGAGTGAAAGTATAGTATGGCCCAGTGGTCAGACTGTTTCACGAAAAAAAAATGTACTTCCTTTATTATTTTTTTATTTGCTGTCTCAAAATGTCTTTTTTCTCTCCATTTTTAAATTAAATTTATGAGGGCAACATTGTTTAATAAAAACATATAGGTTTGAAGTGTACGATTCAATAGTACGTCATATGTCTATTACATTGTGTGTTCGCCACCCACAGTTAAATTTCCTTTCGTCACCATATATTTTATTTACTTCCTTTACCCTTATCTACCTCCTCCTCTCCCCACTTGCCTCTGGTCACCACTAAACTGTCGTCTGTGCACGTGAGTCTCTGTTTGTTGTGTCTTTTAGTTTTATACCCCACGTATGAGTGAAATCATACGATTAGCCACTTTTTCTGTCTGACTTATTTTGCTTAACACGATAATCTCCGGATCTATCTATGTTGTCGCAAATGGCAGTATTTCGTCTTTTCTTAAATTTATCCCATTTTGCCAAAGATTTCCCTGTAAAAATGATCTGTCTGTCCTTTTTGCTATGTGGTGTAGGGGTCTATAGATGGGTATTAGTAGTAGCTTTAGTTCTTCTTGTGTTGGGTGGTGGATTAAACTGTCTTCGTTATGTTACTTCATATTAAAAATGGAGTAAGTCAATAGATGGAAAAGATAATGCTGTTGGATCGATGATGAAAATGTCACACGGGCCAATGTTCATGATTGATCAGTAGTATAGAACTAACTTCTATTTAAAAATATAACTTTACACTTTTCATTCTTTTGAAAAGCTTCTTTTCTTCCCGAATGAACACTCCACGTTGGATTCAGTCATTGTCCGGTGATGGCGACCTTGGCTGTGAACTTCTGTCCATGGAAAAGAGCAACGTAAGTGATGGTGTTCCCATCCTTGGCTTGTACGCTTGGTTGTGTGTGGTCCCTGACGTGCTTCAACGGAGCGAAAGGCCATAGATAGAAAAATCAAAGCTAAGGACACAGAGTGTGAGCCACGGGAACGTGCTTAGGGCCAAGGAGTGCAAAAAACCCATTTCAGCACGACGAGAATGGTAGAAGGCAATGAATTTTCACAACCGTTTACCATTCCGTGTTTTCGTACCACAGTTGCTTTAAGCATTTCCAGATTGGTAGAGATCTAGGTTATTAATTGTTTAGAGGAATCTCGTAGCAGGCGGAATATACTGTCCGTGTCCCAGTTGTGGGGTGCCGTTGTTGTTTTGGGTTGTTTATGACGCCATGTGTGAAACTGGCCAGATTAAGGGAGCATGGCGCAATCACGGGCTGCCGTTAGTGGTGGTTGGTACTGTAAGAAGCCGAGCTCTGAGCTCTGGTCTAAAAGCTCTGTAAGAGATCAGCCTCGAGACACATCCTGGTAATCTCCAGGACCTTGTTCTCGGGAGGTGGGGACCCATGGGAAATGAAGGCATGAATGAATAAAGAAAAAGAGCGCCAAGCTTGGACCGATGATGAGATTGGAGGGTGTCTGAATCAAAAATTTTGATTAAAGCCATCTGTAACTCTGAGGTCCATTATTAAAAAGTGGCCTCCTTTCTCCTCTATGGAAAAGAGCTTAGGGCAGAAGTCGAGATCATTCAGGTATTTTGATCATTGGCATATACACTTTATGGGTATAGATTGAGTTTATCAGTGATAAAGACTTGAATCAAATTCATGATTAGCCTAGAGTCACACAACTAATGTTTTATAAATCAATTGAAATCTGGACTTTATTTTTTTTTTTAAATATTGGCATTTAATTCCACAGAATGAAGATCGTGGCTGATTGAATTAATCTCTACCGATGAAGATCTTGGCTGCTACCTTCGTGAGTAAAAAACCTTATGACTAAAGTAAATGAGAGTCGAAAGATCTTGTCAGTTGGGGTGAATTGTTTTTATTAGTGTTCATCGAATTATTTAAATCAAGCCATAGATAGATCCATAAAATGAATGTGTTACGAAGCTAAAGATTATGGTTACTCCAGTTCAATGCAATTGTGATTAAAAATAAGATGGGAGATATGATAATTTTCAAAGCTGATTAATAAGAATCCATGTGATTTTTGCACTGCATTTGATTTAAACATTTATTCAGTAATAAAGTCAGGGCCGCACTGTCCAGTGTGGTTGCCCCTAGCCGAAAGTGGCTACTTACATTTAATATAAGTAAAATGATATGAATGTTAAATTCAGTTCCTCAGTTGAACTAGCCACATTTTAAGTCCTCATCTACGTATGGCTGATGGCGACCGTACCGCGGAGGGCAGTTATAGCACATCCGTGTTATCATACGGAGTTCTGTGGGGCAGCTCCCCACTCGGGAGGAGTACATATGGGGATGGGAGGTAGTTGGAACAAGGTGTGTGAGAAGCAAGGATGTTATTGACCCGCACACAAGTCACTGAGAGCCACTGCAAAAGGAGATCTGGTCGACTGAGAAAAGATCTAGTTTATAAGGAAAAGCCTATAACAGATCTTGGTCATATTCGAGGATCTTGTTTTTGGCTTTTAAAAAAATATGAACATTGATTTTATTACTGTTAGTGGATCAATAAATGGATCAATAAACAAAAGTATAAATGAAAAAGACTGCTCGACCTGGATCAATGATGAGTACCCTGGGGTGTCTGAAATCAAGGATTTTGATTAAACCCTGTAACTCTGAGGTCCATTACCTAAAGATTCCTCTTCGTTTCCTTTTTGAGAAGTGAGCTTATGTCAGGAGTTAAAAATATGCAGGAGTTTGTTTTTGGGTTTCTGAGTATTATATTTTCACTAAATCAATGAATGAATAAATTAAGAAACATAAACGAATAGAGACAGGATGAGTTATTCCTGGTTCAAATATGGGAGTATGTAATGTAATATATACAACATAAAAATCATTGTTAATACGTTTCTGAAACACTGAGTTCCAGTAAAATAAATTTATTAAAGCAGACCTTTTTGGGTAAATAGCATTTAGATAAATGGATATAAGAGCCCTTGTTATTTTTCTGGGTTGGGTTGTTGATTCTTTGTTTTATTAAGAGAAGGGCAAAACATTTACTTAAATCGATTACTGATTAAATAACTGCAGAATTGAGAGAGGGCTACACACGGACCTGTGTTGAGAATGCGTCCCATGACCAGTTACGATGAATTCAATGACCTTCACTATTTTTTTAATTTAAAAAGAACAAGAAAAGATTATCTGATTTTTTCTGTGCCTAATGAACATACGGACAGGCATTAATGTTGGCTTGTTTCTATGGAGTCACAAATATTAAGGATGTTATTATTATGTATAAAAGAATAAGTTAATATCTTAATCAATTATTTGAAAGATGGCAAAGTACGGACCAACGAGGAGCATATGTTATGAAATAAGGGGGTGATTAATATAGTTCAACACAGTTGTTTTCCAAATGAGAAAGTAGACCGAGCCTCCTCCACTTTTGGAACGGTGAATATATGTAGATAAGATTTCTCATTCTGACTTGGTACAATTCCTTTAAAAAAATGGAAGATAAATGACTCCGTGTGTAACAGTATAATACATACATACATACATACATACATACATACATACAGGTTTGACAAATGTAGGCAATTGCTGAGAATGTGCTTCAATCTAGAATTCAGATGAACCTAAGTTTTTGTGAGCAAGATTCATTTAGAAAGAAGATATAGCCCTCATGTGGCAAGAGAGGGGGCGTATCAACAGATATGTGTGCTAATCATAGTTCTTATTCTTTTGTCTTGTGTTGGTTTCAAAGCCGTTCTCTATATCCCTTAAATTTAATATATGAATCATTCAATAAGCCATTCAGAGTTTTAATACATAATAAGCGCTAAGGTTTATTCCTAATCAGTTGTTGTTGACTTGATCAATTTAAAAAATCTGAATCTAGTCTGATCTATCTCTATCTTTCCATCCATCCATCCATCCATCCATCAGTCCATCCATCCATCCATCCATCCATCCATCCATCCATCCATTCACCTACCTGATTTAATCTCTTTTCATGTTTGCTTTGCATTCTACAGAATGGACACATAATGATTCAGTTAAAGACCGTAGAACCTTATGTAAGTAACAGTCAAAGGAATTGCTTTTGGTTTGGTGGTTTGTCACAGGTGTTAACTTTATTATTGAAGGGAAATAAATAGCTACATATATAAATAAAATGAATGAAGGTCATGTGCGGGCCAATTCAGCACATCTGTGGTCAATTAAGGAGAAAAAATAAGACCATTTTATTCATTTCACAGTTAATTATTCAATAATTAATGTGTGTAAAATATTATTCGATTTTAATTTTGAGTCATAGTCTATTTAAACCTCGCTCTGCAAAGACAGAGTTTGGTCGCATTCAAATAGTAAAGGGAAGTTAATATGAAGTATTATATTAATTTCTATAGGAAACATGGTCAATTAATGAAAGATAAATATATATTTCTCTATAGAATTACTTTCTACTGACAATATAGATAGATATATGGGTTGATATAAATATATATATCATTGGTGGGAAGTAATTCCACAGAGAAATATTACAGATATTCGAGGATCTTGGTGAATTAATTTTATTAGTAGTAGTAGTGAATGAATTAATTAATCAATTAAAACATGTAGACATGATTGAAGATAATGAGGACCAATCTTGGACCAATGATGACAACTGGTGGAGTATGAATCATGGAAGATGAATACTATGTGTCTGGAACTCTGAGGTCCAACACAACAAGAAATCTGGTCTGTACCTTCTGTCAGAAGTAAACGTATGGGCAGTAATCTGTTCGGAATATTCAAGGAATTTGTTCTTAGTTTTTGTATTTGTGGAATTTGATTCTATTATTATGAATAGGTCAATAAAAGAATCAATAAGTATATAAATAAATAAAGAGGGTGAAGCGTTGTCCAATTATGAAAATGGTGAGGCCACAAATACTATTAATATATATTAAAAACCCTGAAATCCATTAAGACATAAATGTCTTACAGGTATTGTCTTTTTAAGGATGATACTACAATGTAACTAAGAGTCTATGTCTTTGGTCAGTACTTTGTTGTTTTCTCAGGAAAAAAATATCACAACTTAATACATATTTAAGTGAGTAATAACATGAAAGGAGGAGGGCAGGATAAATGGAGGGAATACTTCAATCTCATTTGTTCTGCTTTGTATTCTTAGAATGGATGCTCCCTGCTGATTTAAGCGTCTTCTGTGGTCATGAGCTCCGGTCGCCTCCATGTGTTAGTTCCGTGGAGACCAGCGTGAGTACACAGTCTTTTCTTGGTTTGAGTAGTTTTTAAAGTATACTCACTGTTAAAAGAATCCAAGAAGGCTACCATGGCTGGGTGATAAGTATGACATTGTCATTATGTCATGTTAACATATGACATATGGACATCGTATTGATTTATCAATACTTGCAAAGTTAAGAATAATTAAGAAAAGCGATATAATCAAGATGGCAAATGACCTTATAGGTAACTATTAAGGATACTTAAATTCTCGTTCTTAAGTTTTTGTGATTCATGTTTATTTATTAGTAAAATGAGGAATTAATCAATAAACAAACTTAGAAATTAATGGAGAAGGGGAGGGCTGACCCTGGACCAATGATGACGACTGGTGGCGTATGAATCACGGATGATGAATACCATGTGTCGGGAACTCTGAGGTCCAACTCGATAAGAAATCTGGTCTGTTTCTTCTGTTGGAAATGGCCGCAGTGTGACAGATGTTAGTAGCATACAAGGTCATGTTTTCGGTTTTTGTGTTCATGGATTTTGATTTTATTAGTATAAGCAGATGAGCGAAAAAATTAAACGAATATAAGTAGATAAATATGACTAAGTGAAGAATGATAAATTATGAAAATGAATCAATATTTAAGTGACTGAGTAGATTAAATGCAGAAAGCAAAATTAGTGCAGATAAGGTCTCAACTTTTTTTTTAAATTACCTTCTGTGTTTTTCTACTTCACAGAATGCACGTATTGGAGCTGAGTTAAAGATTCTTCTATAGTCACGAGATGTCTGGTTGTCTCTCTGTTTGGTGCATAGAAACAAATGTGAGTTTTATGGGTTTACACTCTATATTTGAGAAGTGTGCAATATAATCAGAGAAAGCCAACCATGGTCTATTGATAACATATAGAATTGACATGTAACATTATATCGACTAATCCGAATATGAAACTTTGAGGGTGATTAATAAAAGAGATAGTACGGTATAGTAAGTGAACCTGTAGACAGAGGTAAGACTATTTAAGACTCATGTTCTAGGGTTTGTTGTGCTTCGTAATTACTATCAAAGCAGTGGATGAACTGACCAATAAACAAGGGTAGATGAGAATGGACAAACAATGCCAAACCTGGACCAGTGATGATGATGCCAAACCTGGACCAGTGATGATGATGATGGTGGCATATGAGTCATGGATGTTGAATACATGTCTGGAACTCTGGGGTCCAACGTAAAAAAAAAATCTAGTTTATTACCTTAGTTGGAAATGATTCTATAGATAGATTTAGGATTTCATAAGGATCTTTTTTTATAGATTTTGAATCTATTATGATAAATGAATCAATAAAGAATCCATTTACAACTATAAATAAATAATGATGAAAAGGTGAAGCATTGTTCAGTTATGAAAAAACGCAATAAGGCCAGAGATACTATTAATCAATATTGAAAAACTAAGTCAGTTAAGAAATAAATGGTTCGAAAGCGTGACCCAGAGCCAAGGATGTTACAGATAATGTAAATAATGGCCCATATTCTTGTTTAGGGTTGGCAGAAAGTTCAATGTTGTTAGTTTTTCTTAAGAATAAGTAAAATATATATTACCCCATATTAACATACAACTTAATAACTAAGCAATGAAATATGTCGCAAAGATCGATAGAGAAAATATCTTAATCATGTTATCATTTACTCTGCTCTACTTTTTAGAATGGACACACCAAAACTGACCTAAGCTTGATGTCCTGGTCAGCGACCTCTGTATTTTCCTGTAGGAGCGTGGAACCAACGTGAGTGACAGTGTTCTCATCTAACTTTTGTTGGTTTGTTTAGGCTATTCTCTGTAGTATTTTTTAAAAAGTATTCAATATAAGAAAAGAAACCAACCGCGGCCCGATGATTAAATTAAAAGTATACATATGACGTATTATTGAATTGTACACTTGAAACCTATATAATTTTCTTAACCATCGTCACCCCAATAAATTTAATTAAAAAAAAATTGGAACTATACGAAACATTATGGTGACTAATCTATCTTTGGAAGAATGAGGATGGTTAATAAAATTCAATTAGGCGACGATTGTAAAAAAATGATAAAGATATAAAAGATATACCGAAGGCTCTTGTCCTTGAGCTTCTGTGATTCACAGATATATATTGAGTTATTCGTAGTAGATGAATTGATGTATAAACAAATGTAGGTGAGAGTAAAGAAAAAGAGGCCCGAATATGGACCAGTGATGACGACTGATGGCGTATGAGTCATGCACGATGAATGCTATGTGTCTGGAAGTCTGAGGTCCCGCACAAGACCAAACCTAGTCTCTTTCTTCTCTTGTAAATGATCCTATGGATAGATGTTAGGAATATACGAGGATATTGTTCTTGTAATTTTAGATTCATGGATTTCTGTATTAGTATAAATGAATCGATGATAGAACCAATAAACAAATACATAACTAACTATAAACAAGGACAAAGCCTTATTAACTATGAATATATGTGGTGAGGCAAGAAATACCGTTCATATAAACTGAAGAAACTGATACAGGTTAAGAAATAAATAAACCAATGGTATTACCTTCTTTTCTGCATGTATGCTTATATTTATGTATAAGTTATGAAAAAGAATAAATACCTTTATGGCTGAGTAAATGAAATTAGGAAAAAAGCACCAATTTTAAGAAGGTCTCAATTATTTTACCATCTGCTCTGTTCCGTACTCCTCAGAATGAACGTGGTCAAGCCGATTTCAGCACCCTCCGTGCCCCATGGTTGCCTCTGTGTAGGGAGCATGGAGACCAAGGTTAGTCATACTTTGAACAAAATTCATGTCTCTGAGAGTTTTTTTCCTAGTATCCACTGTGTTTTTAAGAGTGTGAAATATGATCTGAGATGCCAACCATTGTGAATGATAAATATGGAGTTGATCTGAAGCACTATATTTATTTATATATGAAACACTAATGATAATAAATAAAAGAGATAGATATATCGATGTGGCAAATGATCCTATGGGCAGAGGTGTAGAATATTTATTGCTCTTATCCTTGAGTTTTTGTGAATCATACAGTTTTAAAAATTAATAATAGTGAATCAATGAATTAATCAACGAGCTTATGCAGATAAGAATGAAGAAAAAGATGAACATTTATTGAAAATATTGGTTCATTAAGTTGTCAATTTAGAATGGGTCATTTGTTTAAAGGTATTCATTAAATTTTAAAAAGTAATAAACATAATAAAAAAGTTAACTATGGCCCAATGATATACGATATGAATGAAACATTGTCGATTAATCAATAATGTGCAACATTGAGATTGATTAATGAAAGAGAATCAGTCTGTGTGAGAAATGATTCTACAGACTAGTGTTAGAGATATTTAAGGACCTTGTTCTAAGATTTTCTGAATCCTCTGTTTATTTAATTATTATTAATGAATTAATGACTTATTTGATACAAATGTAGAAACGAATAAAGAAAAAGAGTCCCAGACCTGAATAGTGATGACTACTGGTGGCATATGTGTCATGATTGGTGAAGAACATGTATCTGAAACTCTGAGGTCCAACACAGAACATAATTAGTCAGATACGTCTTTTGGGAACGATCCTGTAGACAGATAGTAGAAATATACAGAGATAATTTTCTTACTCTGGATTTATCGATTTATATTTATCATTAATGGATCAGTGAGAGAACCATTAATGAAGTACACTAGTCCTCCCTCACCTACGATTTCACTTTCTGTGCTTTTGGTACCTGTGGTTAACGGCGACCCCCAAATTTTAAACTTCTCCAGCCATTGACATCGTCTGCTCCTGACATCCAACCTTGGACATTGTCATGGCTAGATGATTCAGAATCACCCGAAGCAGACGATCCTCCTTCTGACTTCTTGTCAGAAGGTCAGTCGTTGCGTAACACTATGTCATGATGCCTGCGTCATTCACCGCACTTCATCTCATCATATGGGCATTATATCGACTCACATCATCACTAGAAGGATAAGTATAGTTCAATAACATATTTTGAGAGAGAGAGAGACCACATTCACATAACCTTTATTACAGTATATTGTTCTATTTGCTCAATTTTTAATTAATTATTGTTAAATTCTTATTGTTCTTAATTTTTAAATGAAACTTTATCATAGTGTGTGTGTATAGGAAAAAAACCTGGTTTCAGGCATCCACTGGGGGTTGTGAAATGTATTCCTCTCAGATAAGGGAGAACTATTGAAGAGCCAAACAGATAAGGAAAAAGAGTAAAGCATTGTCTCGCTGTGGATATATGTGGCGAGGCAAGAATTATTACTATAAATTGAAACTACTAAATTCACTTACTAAAATATTGAAAACATTGATACTTCTTAAGAAATAAATGTATTAAGGGTGTCACCTCTTTGGCTAAGGGTCATATAGACTCTGATAAGTACAAATCACTTCCAATTTGACATTGTTTCTTTTGTTAAGAGACAAAAAACTTACATTATGAAAACTAATAAATACCTAAATGGCTTAAATGTGGAAAGGAAGGATCAGTTCAGATAAGGTCTTCATTTTGTATTTTTCATCATCAGCTCTGTTTTGTGTTCCTCAGAATGGACATATTCAAGCTGATTGTAGAATTCTTTTCTGGTCACCGTCTCTGGAGATGCTGCTGCATCTCAGGTGAATAGGGACCACTGTAAGTAATAAAGTTCATGTCTTCATTTAACAGGTTTTTTGAAAAAGTACATGTACTGCATTCTCAAAAGCGTGAATATAATTCAAAAAGCCAGCAATGGCCAATGATAAATACGAGATTATTACCAGGCATTATACTTATTAATCCATTTATGATATATTAAGGATAATTAATATAACAATATGATAAATGGTTCTATAGATAAGATGTAGAATATTAAAGGTTCTTATTCTTTATTTTTTTTGTGGATCATAGGGTTTTAAAAATTAATACTAGCGATTTAAGGAATTAATGAAATAACATGCAGGAGGATAAGGAAAAAGATGCTGAAATATGCGCCAGTGATGATGCCTGGTGACGTAGGAGTGAGTTGCAGATGATGAATGTTATGAGTCGGGAACTCTTAGGTCCAAAACAGAAAGGGAAATAGTCCATTGCCTCCGCTCAAAGTGATTCGATAGCCTCAATTTTAGGAACATAAAGAGACTTGTTTTAAGATAGTCTTTATGGATTTTGATTATTTTATTATCAATGGACCAATTTAAGAATCATTGTATAAATATTAAGAAGTAGAGATGAAGAGCATGAAGCATATGCGCTCTTAATATATGTGGGGAGGCAATAAAATCCTTTCGAATGTATTGAAGATACAGAATTCCATTAAGAAATTTACCACTTAGAGAAATTCTTATTCTGGGTCTGAGCAAATATGATATTATCTTTTTATTTTATTTTAATTAGTTTCAAGTATATCGTACATTGGTTAGACAGTTGTATAGTTTATAAAATGATCCCCTACTCGCTCTTTCTCTCCTCTGACTCTCCACCCAGCCATTACCTTACTGCTGACTGCATCCCCTATGCCGTGCTCCCCATCCCTGGGACTATTTGTCAACTACTAATTCGTACTTCTTTAACCCTTCACTTCATTTCCCCAGTCCCCTAAATCTCCCTCCCCTCTGGCCATCACTAGGTTGTCCCTACATTTGTGAGTATGATTTTGATTAATTTGTTCTTTTCGTTTCTTAGATTCCGCATATTAGTGACATCATATGGTATTAATCTTTCTCTGTCCGACTTATTTCACTCAGCATAGTAACCTCTAGGTCCATCCATGTCATTGTGAATGGTAGGATTTCATTTTTATGGCTGAGTAAGATTCCATTGTACGTATGAACCATAACTTCTTTATCCAGTCGTCTGTTGATGGGCATTTAGTTTGCTTCCATTGTGCTGCCATGAACATAGGGGTGCATCGATCTTTAGGAATTACTATTTTGGTTTTCTTGGGATAAATACCCAGAAGTGCAATTGCTGGGTCAAAAGATATATCCAATTTTAATTTTTTGAGAAACCTCCAGACTGTTCTCCCATATTGATATGTTACTAAATGTTGGACCGCATGTAAGGTGGAGATAACGTCTCGATCTTGTTTTCCTGTTTTCTCAGAATAAGAACGCTTATGCGGATTTAAGCATCTGTAGTGTTTCTGTGCACCACGCCGGCCTCTGGGTGGGAACGTGAGGGCAGTGTAAGTCATCATCAAGTTCTTGTCTTGGTTTGGGTGGTTTGTTTAGGGTATCACTGTAATAATTTAAAAAGTAGTAAATAAAAGAAGAAAGACCAACCATGGCCCAATGATTAAGCTGACGGTGTATGAAACATTGTGTTGATTTATCTATCTTTGGAATAATGAGGATGATTAATGAGAGAGGTCTAATCGATTAGGCATTGATGCTAAAGAATGGTGATAGGAATAGTGAAGACTCGTGACCTGGAGATTTTGTCATTTGTAGATGTATTGAATTATTAGCTGTAGATTGATGAATTAGTATATAAACAAATGACATGAGATGAAGAAAAGAGGCCCAAATGTGGACCAGTGATGACGACTGATGGCGTATGAGTCATACACAATGAATGCTATGTGTCTGGAAGTCTGAGGTCCAACACAAGACAAAATCTAGTCTCTTTACTGTTATGCAAATGATCCTATAGATCGATGTTAAGAATATGCAAGGAGATTGTTATTATTATTTTAAATTCATGGATTTCTATATTAATATAAATGGATCGATGGTAGAACAAATAAACAATATATAGATAAAAAAGAGGATAAAGGTTTATCAACTAAGAATATATGTGGTGAGGCAAGAAATACTATTAACACAAACTGATAAAACTAATGGTAAGAAACAAATGGACCAAGGACATGACCTCTTTCTAAGGATCATGTAGATACTGACACTGTTATGTAATATTCGATTTTATGAGCCTGTGTCAGTCTCGAGTTGAGGATGTTAACTTTGTTATATATATATTTATATTTTCAAGTGTATATGTTCTGAAAAATTAACAAATATTTAAGTAACTGGATATACGAAGCGAGGAAGACGATGACTAAAGGAGAGAAGGTTTCAGTTTTTAATGATCTGCTCTGTCCTGTGCTCCTCAGAATCGATGCACAGCTGATTTGTTTTCCATGGTAACGAGATCTATGGTTTCTCCTGTGGGTTCGGCATGGAGATGAATGTGAGTAAAGGTTAAAGTTCTTGTATTTATTTAAGATAAAAATTTTAAAGGATACTGTATTGTTAAAAGTGTGAAATAGAATCCAAAGGCAAACCATGGAAAATGATAAGTATGGGATACTTCGATGCATATGTAAAATATTGATGATAATTAATGAAAGCGGTATAACAATGTGGCCAATGGTCCTATAGACAGATGTGGAATATTTATTGCTCTTATTCTTGGGGTTTTGTGAATCATAGGGTCTCAAAAATTAACATTAATAAATTAAGGAATTAACTAATGAATTAACGTCTTCGAGAATGAAGAAAGAGAGGCCGAGATGTGGACCAATGATGATAGTTGGTGGAGTATGAGTCATAGATGATGAATATTATGTGTCTGAAACTCTGAGGTCCATAAAAAGAGAACTATCATCTGTTGCCTCGTTTTGAAGAGACCCTATAGACAGATCATTAGGAAAAGATACAGGACCGTTTTCTTGGTTCATTTTCATGAATTTTGATTCTACTGTAATAAATGGCTCAAAAAAGAATCAATGTCAAAGTAGAAATAAGATGAAAACCATGTCTACTCTTTACATATGTGATAAGACAATAAAAATTAATGAGTCGTGAAAATACTGAAGTTCATCAAGAAATGTAAATGGTTCGCATGTCTTACCTCTTTGGCCAAGAATGATACAGACAATGACTAAGAACGGTCTTATTCTTGGTCCTTGTCAAGTTTGACATTGATTTGTTACGAAAATTAATGAATATGCCCTCCATGTACTTTTAATCTGTACATCTGAGGAGTGTCTCTCAACCTGGTTATCATCTTCTCTGCTTTATGTTCTCAAGCTGGACACACCTGAGCTGATTAAGCCTTTGGCCGTGATCAGGAGCTCCGCTGGTCATGTGGAGGTACATGCGAGTAACAGTCAAAATTCTTCTCTTGGTTTGGGTTGTGTGAGTATTCACTGTAATATTAAAAGTAGTATTAAATATATTCAAAGAACACTCGTCATACTCTGAGCATAAATACAGAATTGACATGAAACTTTATATTGATGAATATAATCCATCAACGAAGCTGATTAATGAAGGAGGTATATTGAGACAAATGGTTCAATAGATGGATATTAGAAATACTAAGGATCATGTCCTTGAGTATTTATGACTTCACAGATATTTGTTTTATTATTATTAGTGAATATGTGAATTGATCAGTAAGTAGAGATAGATGAGAATGAAGAACAAGAGTCCCAAGCCTGGACCAGTGATGACGACTGGTGGCATGTGCTTCATATATGGTGAATGCTAATGTGTCTGGAATTCTGAAGTCCAACACAAAGAGAGCTAGTCTCTTCCCTCCGTTTGAAACTGTTCCTATAGACAGATGTCAGGAATATACAAGGCTCTTGTTCTTGGCCTTTGTGTTCATAAATTTTATGAAATATTATTAAAGAATAAATGACAATCAGTGAACAAATAAAGATGAAGAGAGTGAAGTATGGTTCATTGATAAAATGCATAGTAAAGAAAAATAATACTAATGTAGATTGAAATCGATATTAAATGGATCGAGTGTATTATATCTTTGACTAAGGATGATATATAGAACGATAAATAATAGTTACTGCTCTGAGTCAGTTACGACTCTGATGTTTAATTTATGAAGAGAAGGACAAATATTACCATTCATCAATAAAGGACTACGTTACATGAATGGTGGAAATGATGGATCAATAATAGAGAGACCATCTCACTCTCTTGATTTGTCTGTTCAGAACAGGTGCTCCAGGCTGATTTCCATTTCTACCGTGATCAAGGTCGTCATGCTGCCTTTGTGTAGGGAGAGAAGCCAGTGTGAGTTATGGACCGCGTTCTCGTCTTGGTTTGGGTCTTTCCTTAAAAGATATTCGTGATATTAATACAAGTGATAAATATAATTGAACAGTTAACTCTGTCCAAATATAATGTGAAATATTAATGTTGGTTAATCAACATCGAAGTGGATTAATCAAAGAGATGTAGCCTACATGGGAAATGGACTCTGTTAGACATATTTGAATATATAGTACTTGGGTTTTGTGAATCATGCATTCATTATTTTATTATCTAGAAATCATCTATGAATAAATTATTTATTCAGTATAAATGTAGAAATAAGTGAAGGAAAGGAGACCCAAACATGGACCCATACTGACCACTGGTGGCGTATGAGTTATGAACAGGAATACAATGTGTCTGGAACTCTGACGTCTGACACAAAAATAATCAGATGACTTCCTCTGTTGGAAATGATACTATAAACAGAAGTCAGAAATATACAAAAATTATTATCTTTTTCATGTTCATAGATTTAGATTTTATTACTAATGGATCAATAATAGAGCCATTAAACAAAAATAAAAAGAATGTTAACTATTATCTAACTATGAACATTTATGGTGAAGCGAGAGATATTACTAATAAAAATTGAGGAAGACAGTGATTTCGCCTAAGAAATAAACGAACCGAGGTGATAACTCTTTGGCTAAAAATCCTAATAGACTTTGAGAAGCAAGAGTCAGTTTTATTTATTGTATCAGTCTCAAGTTTGAGGTTATTTTCTCTGTTAAGAGAGAAAAAAATCTACATTATGAAAATTTATAAATACCTAAATTGCTAAGTAAATGAAATGTTGAAAGCAGAGATCAGTAGACATAAGGTCTCAATTTTCTATATCATCTGCTGGGCTCTATACTCTTAGGAAAGGACACCCCAAGCCGATCTCAGCATCTTCCAGGTTCACACGTGTTTTTAAGAGCATGGAGACCAACAGGAATAATAGTCAAAGTTCTTGTCTTAGTTCCAGTATTTTTTTTAAGTGTATTCACTGTATCATTGAATTTGTCACTATCCCAGTGACAAATATGAGATGTTTTATATTTATTGATCTGTACTGATTATACTGAATAATGCATATATGAAAAACAGGATAATTGAGAGATATAGTGATGTGAGAACGAGTCTATATACAGATTATGGATATAAAGGCTCTTCTTGAGTTTTTATGAATAACAGGATCTTAAAATTATTAATGAATTACTCAATAGACAATGTAGAAATGATTGAAGAAAAGGAGGGACAAAATGGATCGATGATGACTCCTGGTGGCGTATGAGTCATGTACGATGAATACGTGTCTGGAACTTCAAGCTCCAACAGACAAGATATCATGTCCACTGTCCTGTTTGAAGTTGTCTCGATAGATGTCATGAATTGATAAGGGTGTTGGTTTCGGTTTATGTTCATGCATTGTCTTTCTATTTTTATCATCGTATCCATGAAATAAAAATAAATTAACATATAAATAAGTAAAGGTGAAGGTCATAAATTATTGGCCAAAAGTAAAAATACGTGGTGAGACAAGAGATACTATTATGTATGCTGAATCTACTCCTGTCCGTTAGGAAGTGGTATGGGTAACAAGATCACCATTATTTGTTTCCTTCGGAGAATTTAAACATTTTCCCAAATTGCTAGTTTCCTAGGTGACTGACTGGATGAAAGGTGGAATGCGAGGGTCAGCGGAGATGGGTCTCAGGCTTTTTTTTTATCATCTGCCCTGCTGTCCTCAGAATGGATGTGCTTGAGCCGATTTGTGGGTTCTTCTACCATCACGAGCTCCAGGGTTGCATCTGGGTGTTCGAGTGTGGAGGCCAGTGTGAGTACATCAATGTTCTCATTTCCATTTGGGTGGTTTGTTTAAGGGTATTCACTATATTATTAAAACGTGTGAAATACAATCAGTGGATGTCAACCACGGCCCCCAAATGCAATTAATATGAAACATTATGTTTATTAATTCATATACGAAACATCAAGGTCAATTAATGGAAGGGGTTGATTGCTGAGGAAAATAATTCTATAGACAGATGTCAACCATGGACTAATGATAAAGAGGTTAAAATGAAGCAAGTTGACTAATACGCATATTCAACACTGAGGTTGATTAAGAAGAGAAATCTAGACTAAGTCGTTCTTTAGAAAATGATTCTATATACAGATGTTCACAAATATTAAAGCTACTTAAACATTTATTGGTATATATTTATAATTAGTGAATTCATGATTTACCTCTAAACAAAATTGTAATTGAATGAAGAACAGGAGGGTGAAGCCTGAATCAATGTTGAAGACTAGTGGCATATGAGTCAGGGATGAAGAATGCTTATCTAGAACTCTGAGGTCCAACGCAAAACGAAATCTTATCTGTTGCTTCTGATACAAATAAAAAAAAAACAGTCGTTAGGGATACCCAAAGATGTTATTTTTGGGCTTTTGCGTTTCACAGATATTGATTGTTTATTAAAAGTTAATACAATAATAATTACATAAATATATGAATAAATGAAAGAAAAATGTAGTGGAGGAACTATAGCATATATAAGGAAACAGACGTCATTACCAATCCATTTCTAAGGACGTGGAGTCCATTAAAAATATATAGCGGCTCTTATACCTTAGCATAAGGGACATGTGGACGGATGGATGTAATTGTCGATGTTTATGCTCTGTGCTGTTTGGGTAGTGGGTTTTTTTTTGAAATTAATAAATAGAAAAAATATTTAATTTAATCAGCTGACTACATTAAAGAGGACTGAGCATGAACCAGTTTCAGGACAATTTTTTAAAAGTTTGAGGATTTTATATTCAGTTTTACAGCTACTTTTTATTCCACATAGGTTTGTACTGCAGGTTATAAACATCCTCTGTGGCAATGATCTAAGCTGTTAATTCAGTGAAGAACCCCATAAGAAGACGTAAGTTATCAACAGTGTTTAGATGCCGAGGGTTCGTGGTTGTTCTTTCTTTTATCTTTAAGGAACATAAAAGTTAAATGAAAAAGAGCCAAATATACAGTGCTGGAAGGAGATGTGACTTTGGGTGGCGAACACAGTGCAATGTACAAATGATACGTTATTCAATTGTACTCTTGAAACCGATATGGTTTTAGTAACCAGTGTCACCCCCAATAAATTTAATTTAAAAAAAGGAAAAGGACGCATGATGGAAGTGGAACGCATTCGGAATGTGTCTTATGATGACTTCGTTTCTGTGTCACCGAAGTCCATTTGAAAATTTGATATATTACACCTGTGGGAATAAGCCTAGAGCCAGTTTCGGTAATTTTCAAGAATCTAATTATGGAGTTTAAGGAGATTCTGGGGATTTATTGCATTATTCTAAGGGAGTAAATGAAAGGAAGTAGATGAATTAGATAGATAGATGGTAGATAGATAAAAGAGAGGTGGAAGATAGATGATGGGTAGATAGTTAAAAGGAAGTAAATTTGGATTAATTAAGAAAAAAATGTGAGACAAGAGTTTTTGTTCATGTGATTCTGGAGTGCTACAGTGTATGTATTATAAAGTCGTATACTTGAAACTTATATAATGTTATTAACCGACGTTAAAATAAATTTAACTAAAAAAGAAGAAACGTATAGTTCAAGGGTGTCACCTCTCCAGTGTAGAGCAGTAGTCCTCCAACTCGAATGAGCATGAGAATCACCTGGAGGGCTGGTTACACTGCACGCCGCCGGCCCTGCCCCTAGCATTTCTGATTGGGCGGGATTGATGTGGGGGCCAAGAATCTGCATTTCTAAGCTCCCATTAGTTCAGCTGGTGCTGCCTAGTGGGAGACAGTGCTTTGAGAATCACTGATAAAGCAAGATACACGTAATAATAGTCAATGCCCTTGCTCTGGGTCAGCGATGAGTTCCAGGCTGTTTATTTTATTAAGGAAAATAAGGTATCAAATGCAGTAATCAATAAATAGCTAAAAGTCAAATTAAATGAAAGGGAAAAAGCATGGTTTGATGGAGAAAATGTCTAAATCTTTTAACATCATCTTTATACTCTACAAAATGGATAAACCTGAACTGATTTAAGCATTCTGAACAGACTGAGCTCTCTAGGCAACCTGTCTGTTTAGAAACATATATTTCTTTTCTTTCTTTTTTTTTTTACTAAATTTATTGAGGTGACATTGGTTAATCAAATTATATAGGTTTCAAGTGTACAATTCAATAGTACATCATCTGTTTAAATCATTGTGTGTTCACCACCCAAAGTCAAATCTCCTTCCATCGCCATATATTTAAAATGAGGAAATGTTTGCATACATGAACAAAATTAAACAAAGACAGGCCAGTCCTAATGACAAGAAGCAAAGTTTATGATTAATTTGATTTAGCATTGCTTAGGATGATTTTAAAAACAAGTTGAGTCTAGGTCGCTCATTTTTATAGATTTTTAAATTTCTATTTTAGGTTTTCCCTAAACATTTTGTAATTGATGTACGCTATTTTCATTCTGAGGAAGGAGCACATAGGAGATGTAAGTACGAGTCAGCGTTTAGTTCTGAGGATGGATTCATTCTCTATACAGAAAGGATATGCAAATTATATGAAAAAGGCCAACCATGGACCAGTGATGTGAGTGGAATGCATTCTGAACTGTATTTTATGATCAAAACATGTATGACCTACTGAGGTCCATTACAAGAAAGGAATTAGGTGTTTACATCTGTGGGAATGATGAAACTTTGGATAGATATTGGTAATATTTAAGGATCATATCTCAGCCTTTGGTGCTTCGTGGATGTTGATTTTATCATAAGTGAATAAATGAAAGACTAAACAAATATGGTAGTATATAAAGATGAAGAGGGGGAGGCATATGCAGGTCACGTGAGGTTATTAGAGAGACAGCTTGGGACCACCGGAGTTCATTAAGCATCAGATGGACCAAGGGGGTTACATGTTGGGGTAAGAATGGTACAGATGGTGATACAGAGTAGTCTGTATTGTTGTTTTGAGTCAGTCGTGAGCTCAAGTGGTTCATTTACTACAGAAAGGAAGAAAAAATTACGCTACAAAATAATAAATACCTAGATGACTAAGACAATAAGAAAAGCATGCACTGATGGCAAGAATATCTCAGTATTTTATTATCTGTATTGCTTATATTAAGAATGAATTCATGAGCCGATTTAGTCCTTCTGCCATGGCCAAGAGCTTTTTGGGTGGTTTGCTTAATTAAGGGTAGTCACTGTAGACAGACCTATGAAATGTAATCACTGAAGGCCAACCGTAGCCTAATAATGGAACTAGTGTCTGTGTGAAGCATGACGTTGATTAGTCAATATTTTAAACACTGAGGCCAAGTAGAGAAAGTGATCTAGTCTCTGTGGGAAATAATTCTATCGACAGATGTCAGGGAGTTTCAAGAAATTTCTTGGGGATTTGGATTTATGTGCGTTTATTTTGTTTGTGAATTATGGAATTAATAAAAATAAATGAAGACTAAGAGGGCAAAACCCGGACCAGGAACGATGACTGGTGCACGTGAATCATGTGCAGTGAGCGTGATTGTATATGAGTGAGGCCCAACACAGGAATCTAGTACATTCGCCCTGTTGGACATGTTCGTATAGACATATGTCTTTTTCTTGGACTTGTGACTGTGGATTTCAAAAAAATATATATTATTCTAAAAGAAGCAATGGCAGAAAAAATGGATGGACAGATATGTAAATGGATAAAGGCGAAGAGGGTAAAGCATTGTTTATTATTAAAATATATAATAGAAAATTGGAAGGAATAACAAACGGACCAAGTACATTACATCTCTGACTAAGTATGATATAGACAGTGATAAGTAGCAGTCAGTTACTGTCAGAAATTTGACATTTGATTTATTAAGAGGAAAATAAGTAAATATTACCGTTATTAATTTAAATAAACACCTAAATGACCATATATACGAATGGTGAAAACCTTGGATCAGTGGAGAGAATTCTTACTCTTTTTACTACCTCCTCTGCTTGGTTCTCTTCAGAATGGATGCTGTTGCTGATTTCAGCTTCCACCATGATCAAGATTGTCACGTGGCCCCTGTGTGAAGAAAGAACCTCACGTGAGTAATGGTCAGAGACCTTGTCTTGGTTCAGATTGTTTGTTTAAGGGTATGCATGGTATTATGAAAAGGTATTAAATTAATCAGAAAATTAACTTGTCCAGTAATAAATATGACATGAAACATTGATTAATCAATAATTATAACACTGAGACCAATTAACAGAAGAGATACAGTCGGTGTGGGAAGCGATCGAGTGGACAGATGATAGAGATGTTCGAGGGTCTTGCCCTTGTGTTTTTTGTGTGTGAATCGTGTATTTTGTTACTATCAGGCAATTAATGATTTAATCAATGCAAATATAGACATGAATAATAAAAAAAAGAAACCTAAACCTGCACTAGTGAGGATGACAGGTAGCATGAGTCATGGATGATGAAAATAAGTGTCTAAAACTCTGAGACCCAATACAAAACATAATTAGTTCGACCCCTCTTTTGGAAATGATCCCATAGACAGGTGACAGAAATATACAAAGGTCTCGTTCTTATTTTGGATTCATAGATTTAGATTTTCTTATTATTAATGAATCAATGATAGAATCATTAAAGAAAAATTAATAAATCGATAAAGGAGAAAGTGAAGCATTGTCCAGCTGTGAACATATGTGATGAGGCAAGATATATTATTAATGAAAATTGAAAACGCTGATGCCCATTTAGAAATAAATTGATCAAGGGTGTTACTCTTTGGCTAAGGATCATGTGGACATGGATAATTAAGTCAACGTGTTTATGGAATTGTACACTTGAAACCTATATAATTTGATTAACCAATGTCACCCCAATAAATTTAATAGAAATTTTAAAAAGTCTATTTTTTATGGATCGGTTCCAAGTTTGAGGTGTTCCCCTTGTTAATAGATAAAAAAATACATATATATAATGAGAAATTAATAAATACCTAAAAACCAGAGTAAGTAAAATGTGGAAAGGAAAGGATCAGTTTATTTAGGTCCTAATTTTTTTTTATCAACTGCTCTGCTCTGTGCTTCTTGGAATGGAGGCGTTAAAGATGATTTCAGCATCTTCCAAGGTCATGAGCTGCTACACGAAGACCAGTGTACTCGCCACTGTTCCTTTTGGCTTAATTGTTTTTTTAATATTTGAAAACGGTTTTCACTGTATTATTAAAAAGTATTAAATGTAATCAAAGAAGGTAAGTCATGTCGGTGTTAAATATCAGATTAATATGAAGCATTATGTTGATTACTCCATGCAGGAAACACTGAGCTCGGTTAATGAAAGAAATTTGGCTTTAGTGGACATGACTGTATAGGTGGATGTTAGCGATATTTAAGAATCTATTCTTGTTTTTTGTGTGTGTGTGATTTATGTGTATTTCTTTATTAATGAATTAAACAATGAATAAATGTAGTCATTAACAGAAAATTAAGGCCAATCCTGGGCTGACACCGATGACTGTTGCCGAGTGGGGCATACGTGATGGTTAGGTGTCTGGAACTCTGGGGTCCAACGCAAATGGAATCCAGTCCAGTCTCCTTTTATGAAGTGAGCATATGAATGGATGTCAGGGATTTACAAGGATCCTGTTCTTGGTCTCTGAGTTCATGAAGTTTTGAAATATTATTATAAAAGATTCAGTGGCAGAATCCATGAACAGATGTATAAATGAATAAAGATGTTGAGAGCAAAGCTTTGGTCATTAATAAAATATGTAATAATGAAAACGAATGTCAATATAAATTGGAATGATTCAAAAGGACCAAATGTATTATGTATTTGACTAAGGGTGATGCAGGCAGGTAATAGTTATTGCTCTCAGGTATTAGTTTAACATTTATTTTATTAAAAAAAATGTTACTGTAAATTAATAAATGCCCAAATGACTAAATGAATAGCGGAAAATATGGTACAATGGAGAAAACGTCTCCATCTTTTATCGTATTGTCTGCTCATACTTTTCGCAGTGAATGCACTGAGCGATTTTAACATCTGCTGTGATTAAGATCGTTATGTTACCTTTGTGTTCGACAAGGGACCAAGATGAAAACTAGCCAAAGATCTTATCTTGGTTTGGTTGATTTCTTTAAAACAGCATTCACAACATTATTAAGAAATAATAAATGTAATTTAAAAATTAACTATGGCACAGTGACACATATGACATGAAATATGTTGATTAGCGGATAATGTGCAATGTCGAGGTCAGTTAATGAAAAAGGTATAATCTATGTGGTACATGATTCTATAGACAAAAGCTAAGTTTATTCAAGGGTCCTTTTCTTGTGATTTTTTGAATCGTATTTTTTTATTATCAATGAATCAATGGTTTAATGGTTACAAATGTAGAAACGAGTGAAGAAAAAAGACCCCAAAATGCACCAGTGATCATGACTGGTGACATAGGAGTGACATGCAGTGAATACTAAATGTCTGTAACTCTCGGGTCCACAAAAAACAGATTCTAGTCTCTCTTTACAAAGATAGGACTTTACAAAGATCATATTCTTATTTTAGGTTCATAGATTTAGATTTATTGTCACTGATGAATCAGTAATCGAACAATTAAAAATGTAATAAACAGCCAAAGAGAAGAGGGTGAAGCTTTGTCCAACTAGAAGCATATGCAGTGAGGCAAGAAACATTTTTAATAAAATGGAAATCATACTTATTGAGCAATAAATGCAACAAGCATTTTGCCTAAGAATCATGTAGACACTGAGAACGTAAGACTCACTATTATTCTGGGTCAGTGTCAAGATGAAGGTTTTCTTTCGTTAAGAGAAAAATACTACATTATGGAAAATTAATAAATGTCTCAATGAACACATGAAATGTGGGAAGCAAGGGTCAGTGGAGGTGGGTGTGACACGTTTTATCATCTTTTCTGCTCTGCGCTCCTTAGAATGGATGAGCTCGAGCTGATTTGAGGATTCTTCCATGTTCATGAGCTCTCTGGTGGCATTCATGTGTCGGGAGCATGGGGACCATGTGAGTAACAGTCCAGTGTTGCTCTTAGTTTTAATACCTTGTTTAAGGCTACTCACTGTGTTGTTCGAAAGTGTAAAATGTAATCAATGAAAGAAAGAGCCCACTCAGAAATACGGAATCACTGTGAAGCAGTAATGAATTAGTCAGTAAACAATTAGAAATCAGTGAAGAAAACTAGGGGCGATATCGGATCGATAGTGATTACTGGTAGCATATGAGTCATAGACAATGAATACGTGTCTGGAATGTGTCCAACACAAAAGCTATGTGGTCTTTCTCTTCATGCAAAGAATGTCTCATGTTATATCATCTGCTCTGCTCTGTGCTCTTCAGAATGGATGCACTTGAGCTGATTTAAGCATCTTCCAAGGTCACGAGCTCTGGTTGCACCTGTGTTGCAGGAACATGACACCAATGTTAGTAACGGTCGTTGTTGTCTTGATTTGAGTGCTTTGTTAAGGCTAATCACTGTATTATCGAAAGGCATTAAATATAATCAAAGCAGGTGAAAGATGACAAATTTAATATCAGATAGACATGAAGCATTATGTTGACTAATCCATAAATGCAACACTGAGTCAGCTAATGAAACAGATTTAGTCGCTCTGTAATATTGTAGAGACGGATGTTGCAATGTTGAACTCTTATTTTTTTATTTATATGTATTTCTTTATTTATGAACTAATTTATAAGTAAACATTTGTGAGAAAATGAAAGAGGGACAATCATAGACCAGTGATGATGACTGGTGGCCTATGAGTCACATACAATGAATATCATATTTCTGGAACTCTGAGGTGTGATAGAAAAGTAATCTGGTCTTACATGTAAAGGGATCTTATGTACAGATGTTAGTAATATATAAGGATTTTGTGTTCATGAATTTTAATAATTAACTTATAAAAGTGTTAATGGTAGAAAAATAAATGTATATGTGTATAAAGATGAAGAGATTAAAGTATTGTTCTTTGGTAAAATATAGTAAGGTAAAAGAATATCGTTATATTTTAAAATGGGTAGAGAAAGACCACGTGTATTTCACCCTTGTCCAAGATTGACATAGACAATGGAATGTAGCAGTCAGTTTTTGCCTGATTCGGATGCATGTTTCAAGTTTATTTTTAAGATAAAAATAATAAAATATTTCTGTTAGTTAATAAACGCCAAATGGTGGCGGAGCATGTGAATCAGTGGAAAGTCTCAACCTGTTTATTACCTTCCTTGTTTCATACTCTGCAGAACAGATGTTTGATCTGATTTCATCTATTGTTATCAAGATGGTCACGTTCCCTTTCTCTTAGGAAAGAGATCTAGGTGAGTAGTAGTCAGAATCTTGTGTTTTGGGCCATTATTTAAGCATATTCGCAGTATTGTTAAAAAACAACAAATATAATTAATGAGTTAACTATGGCCTAGTGATAAATATGACAAACGTTGTATTGATTAACGTAATAGGTAACATTGAGATCGATTAAAGAAAGATGTAGCCTACATTGGCAAAGATTCTACAGAAGTTAAAGATATTTAAGCATCTTATTCTTCAGTGTTTTAGAATCATATATTTATTTTATTATTTTCAACGAACTAATGATTTAACTGATAAATGAAGAAAATGTGGGCCTCTAATGGACCAATGATGACACTGGTGATGGATAAGTCATGGACGATGAATAATGCATGTCTGGATATCTGAGGTCCATCGTGATAAATAGTCTATTCCTTCACTGATTTGGTCCTCTAGATGGGTGTTAGAAATACACGAAGATTATATCCTTATTTTTAGCTTGTGAATATAGATTAGTTAGTATTAATGGATCAATAGTGGAATCAGTAAAAATATGTAAAAAAAGGTAAAGGAAAAAGGATAAAGTATTATCCAATTATAAACATATGGTCAGGCAAGAAATACTAATAAAATTGAAAATACTGATAATCATTAAGAAATAAATGGAACCAAAATGTTAGATATACTTGGCTATAGATGAGTCTTTGGGTCACTCTCAAATTTGAGGTTGCTCCTTTGATTAAGAGAAAAATATATTTACATCATGAAAACTCTATAAATACCTAAATTAGTAAGTAAGTGAAACATGGAAAGCAAGGATCAATGGAGACAAGGTCTTAACTTTTTTTTTATCACCTATGCTTTGTGCTTCTCAGAACAGACACACTCAAGCTGCTATAAGCATCTCAGTGGTGGCCCTGTGATTGTATCTCTGTGTTGGGAGTTCACTGTGAGTAATAGTCAAAGTTCTTGTCTTGGTTGCAACAATATTTTTTTAGGATATTCAATATATTTTTAAAAAGTGCCATCGAGAGTCAAAATTTGCTAACTATAGCCCAGTACTAACTATTGAATTAATGAGACATCGATATATTGATTACCATAAGTGAAATTTAAGATGATTAATGAAAGAGATACATTGATGTGAGAGTGATTAGAAGTATCATGACTCTTCTTGGCTTTTTGTGAATAATAATATTTTAAATTATTAGTGAACTAATGAATTAGTCAATAAACAATTAGAAATCAATGAAGAAAACAAGGGATTGATGATGACTATTGGTGGCATATGAGTCCCATACGGTGAATACGTCTCTGTAACTCTGAGGTCCAATATAAAAGAAATCTAGTCTATTTTTATAATTGGATCAATAAAATAATCAATAAACAAACATAAAATAAATATAAAGGTGGCGAAATCTTGTCTAATTATAAAAGTATGTGGTTAGGCAAGAAATAATATTAATGTATATTTAAAACTGACATCTCTAAGGGATTACATGATGCAGATTGTTATTCTTTGACTAAAGATGTCATAGTTATTTATAAGTGGTAGTCAATATTCATATTATCTGTCAGTGGTTAGATCAATATTGTTTACTTATGAGAAATTAAAATATGTATTATCCTAATACATTGATTCTGTAAATGACTGACTAAATGAAAGGCAGAATGCGATGACCAATGACATAATGTCTCAACCTTTTTTTTCGTCATTGTTCTCTCTTGTACTTCTTAAGATGGCCACATTTGGGCGACTTCAGGGTCTTCCACAGACAGGAACTCCATGGTCACGTCTATGCATTAAAAGCATGGATACCAATGTGAGTGATAGTCAAAAGTTGTTTTTTTGGTTTAGTGGTTTTTAAAAAAGGTTTCCCTGCATTATTAAAAGTGTCATATAAAGTCAAACACCGTAACCATGGCTAAGTAGTAAATTTGGGGTTAATATGGAGCATTATATTAATTAATCTACACAAGATGACATCGAAGTTAATTAATGAAAGATTTATAGTCAGTAGTAAATAATTCTATAGAGAAATGTTAGAGATATTTAAAGATCTTGTTTTAATCGGCATTTATTTTATTGTTTTTAGTTAACCAATGAGTTAATCAATAAAAACGTAGGAACGTTAATGAATATAATGAGTACCAAACCTGAAGCAATGATGATGATTGGTCTTGTCTGAGTCTTGGCTCCTGAAAACTATAGGTCTGAAACTCTGAGGTCCAGCACAGAACATAGGTCAAATCTCTCTATTGGAACTGTTTCTATAGAGAGATATCAAGAATATATGATGTTCATATTCTTATATGAATTTCACAAATGTAGATTTGTTATTGTTAATGGTATAATGATGGAACCATTAACAAATATAAATAAATATTTGAAAAATAAGAGGGGGAAGCATTGTCCAACTATTATAAATGTGTGGCAATGCCCCTTCAGACATTAGTAGTTAAGGCTCTCACCTCTTAGACTGAGGTCATATAAACTCTGATAAGGAAGAGTCGATTTTATTCTTCTTGGTACTGAAGATCGCGTTTTTCCTTTTGTACGATAGACAGATAGATGGATAGATGAATGGATGGATGGATGGATAGATGGATGGATAGATACATAGATATTAAGAAAACTAAATTGATATTGAATATATGAAAAGTGAAAAGCAAGGATCAGCGGTGACTAGGTCTTTTTTTTTTTTTTTCAATCACTTACTTTCCCTGTGCTCCTGAGAATGGAAACACTTGAGCCAAAGAGAGCGTCTTCCGCGGTCATGAGCTCTGTGATTCTTCTATATGAGAAGAGAGCGAAGGTTAATGTGAGTAATAGTAAAAATTCATTTCTTGGTTTTGTGGTTTTTTTAAAAGATAATTCACTATATTGTTAAGATGTCTGAAATATAATTTAAGAAGACGACTATATCTTAGTGATAAATATGGGATATATGAAACACATTGATTAATTCAGTGGAAAACTGAGGCTAATTAATGAAAGAGATACATCGATATGAAAGTAATCTACGGGATAGGATATAAAGGCTCTTTTAGGGATTTCGCTTATCATAGCGATTGGAAATTATTAGTAAATTAATGATTTAATCAATAGACAAATAGAAATGACTAAAGAAAAAGAGGGACAATATTGGATCGATGATGACTTCTGGTGGCGTATGAGTCATATATGATGAATACGTGTCAAACTCTGAGGTCCAACATAAAATTAATCTAGTCCATCCCCATTGTTTGAAGGGATCCTAAAGACACATGTCACGAATACACAAAGATCTTGATTTTGGCCTACCGTTCATGCATTATCATTCTATTATCATAATTGGATATGTATGAAACTCTATAAATACGTAAACAAATAGGGATGAATGTAGTGTTGTCCAATTATAAAAATAAGTGGCGACACGCAAATACTATTGCTATATTATAAAAACCCTGAAGTTCAATTAGAAATAAGTGGTACATGACCGTCACCTGTATGGCTAAGGATGACATAGACAGTGTAAGTCACAGGCAGTATTCAGACTCTGGGTCAGTTTGCAAGATCAACATTGCTCTTTTTCTTAAGGGAAAAAATATGCCTAATTAGTGAATGCCCTAACTGCCGACTAAATGAAATGTGAAAAGCAAGGATCTATGGAGAGGATGTCTCAACTATTTTTATCATCTTCTCTGCTTTATGCTCGTCAGGATGGACACACTGGCGCTGATTTGAGGATTCTTCCTTGATGGAGAGGACAGACTCTGGGCTTGCATCTCTGTTTGAGGAGCAACAAGACCAACGTGAGTAATGATCAAAGTTCTTCTCTTGGTTCTGGTGTTTTGTTTTAGGATATTCACTGTATTAATACAAAGTGTGAAATATAATCAAAGAAAGTGAACCGTATCCTAGTAACAATTATGAGGCTAATAGGAAGCATTATATTGGGCAAAGCATATGAAAAAACTGAGGATAATGACAGATGTTGATGAGGGAATGATTCTTGATGCACATTGGAGATCTCAAGATCTTGTTGAGCTTTTGTGAGTCATATTTTTAAAATTATAATTAGTGTGTTGATGAATTAATCAATAAACAATGTGGAAATGAAGGAAGAGAAAGTGGGCTTTTCTGGATTAATGATGATAAGTGCTGGCGTATGAGTCACGGATGATGAATAGTAATATGTGCCTGGAACTGTGAAAGGAAATGTCATCTTTCTCTTTATGGATTTTCATTCTTTATTATAATTGGATCAATGAAATATCAATGATGAAATTCATATAAAATAAAGCTGAATTACAGAAGCCTTGCCCAACTTAGAGAACCAAGTTAATTTTATCTACTGCCTTGATCAAGATTATTATGTTGTCTTCATGTTAAGTAAGACTGAAGTGAGTAAAAGTCAAAAGTCTTATTTTGGTTTGGAGCATCATTTAAAGATATTCACGGTATTGTTAAAAAGCAATAAAAATAATAAAAATGTTACCTGTTGCCCAATGATAAATATAACATAAAACATTATTGGTTTTGTTTTGATTTGGATCATTGTTTAAAGATATTCATGGTATTATTAAAAAGTAATACATATAATAAAAATATTGCCTATTACCCAATGATAAATATAACGTAAAACATTATCTTGATTAATTGATAATACGTAAAATCGAGATTGACCTATAATCTATGTTGGCAATGATTCTACAGATAGAAGTTAAGAATATTCAAATATCACGTTCTTAAGTTTTTATATATTTTGTATTTATTTTATTATCACTGAATAAATGAATTAATTTATACAGATTTGGAAATGAGTGAGGAAAAAGTGGACTTCTATTGGACCAGTGATGACAGCTGGTGGCAAAAGACGATGAATAATATGTGTCTGGAATTCTAAGGTCCAACACAATATCTAGTGTGTACTCTCTGTTACATTTGATACAGCAGACAAGTGTTAGGAATATTTTGTTTCTGAGGTTCAACAGAAATGGGATCAGGTCCCGTTTTCCCTGTAGGAAGTGATCATACTATAAACAGAAGTCAGGAATACAGAAGGGTCTTGTTTTTGGTTTTAATGTTCATGCATTTTTTTCTGTTTTTATAATTGGATCAATAAAATAATTGATAAATATACAAATGAATAAATATGAAGGGAGTGAAATTTGTCCAATTATAAAAATATTGGGTTAGGGAAAAAAATTCTACTCATCTTCATAAACAAATTGTTTCTATTGAGAGATTTCAGGATCAAAACAAATCAATACGAAGATCATATTTTGTATCGAGTTCATAGACACGGGTATGTTATAATTAGTGGAATAATAATAGAAGTATTCAAGAAATATTTAAAATTAAGGAATGGGGTGAAGCAGTGTATAAAGCTATGAATATATGCGGCGAGGCAAAAGATATTATTAACAAGAAATAAGCATATCAAGATATCTCCTCTTTGGTTAATAATTACATAGACATTGAGTAATAAGAATCTATTCCATTGTTCCGGGTCGGTCTTTATTAAAATAGAGGAAGAAGTATCTCGATACTGAGTCTGTGAAACATGGTCAGCAAGGGGCAGTGTCGATGAGGCCTTAGTATTTCTTACCTCCCGCTCTGTTCTGTACTCTGCAGGTAAGACACACTCAGGCTGCTTCAGTTCAGCATCTTCCACGGTCGCGAGCTCTTTGGTTACCTCTGTCTACTAGGAGGATGGAGATCAATGTGAGTTGTAGTTGAAGTTATTTTCTTGGTTAAGTGTTGTTTTTGTAAGGTCATTCACTGCATTATTAAAGATGATAAAATATAAGGAAATGCTGTATCTCAGTGATAAATATGAGATATATAAACCATTATATTGATTAACCCATGTATGGAAAACTGAGAGTAATTAATGAAATAGACACATCGATGTGAGAATAATCTGTAAAGAGTCAGCACGTAGTAACTCTTCTTGGGTTTTGGGGAATTGTAGTGTTTAGAAATTATCATGAGCAAATTATGATTTAATCATTAAATAATTTAAAACGAACAAAGAAGACAAGGGACAATATTGGATCGATGATGACTTCTGGTGGCGTATGAGTCATATACGATGAATACGTGTCAAACTCTGAGGTCCAACACAAAAAAAGGCAGTGCATCCCCATCGTTTGAAGGGATCTTATAGACACGTGCCAGGAATGTCCAAGGCCCTTGTTTTTGGTCTTAGCGTTCATGCATTTCCATTCTATTATTGCAATTGGATAAATGAAAGAATCTATAAACAAATTTATAAATAAAGATACATAAAGTATTGTCCAATTGCAAAAAAATGTGATTGTGCAAGAAATACTATCACTATATTATGAAAACTCGACATTCAATTAGAAGTAAATGGTACATGGCTGTTACCTGTTTGGCTAAAGGTGACATAGATAGTATAAGTCATAGATGATGTTGTTATAATCTGGGTCAGTGGCAAGGTCAAAGTCGTTTTTTTCCTTACGAGAACAAATATTTACACCAAATTAGTGACTGCCTAAATGCCTTACTAAGTGAACGATGAAAAGCAACAATCAGTGGAGAGAATATCTCACTTTTTTATCACCTGCTCTGCCGTTTCCTCCTCAGAATGGACACAATGGACCTGATGCAAG